TTCTGAAAAAAATAAAACCTCTCGAGTAATCGCTGACAGCCAGATGATAACAGTGTATCTCTTCTTTCACAAAGAGTCGGCAGCATGCTTCTCCTGTTGCATCCATGAGGAAAGTCTTTGACGATTAAGAGGAGAAGTACTAGGCCCCGCAAGGCAAAACCTCTCGAAGTATAGATGAGGCAAAACAAATGCTCTTCGGCAAAATGATTTTTTTTTTCAATGTAAGATGATGTCTCATAACCGCCAAACCTACTGGTTTGCTGGAATCCTGCTTCTGCATGCACAATTTTAACGTGTTTTTACATAGGGTTATGTTGCCTCTCTGGGCATTCATATATTTTCCACTAAATTAAGTCGGGCACAATTTACAGACGGTGTTGTAATTTTGTAATTGTGCGTCAGCTGGAAGCCAGACTGAGGGAGCGATGGTCATTGTATCTGGAACCTCTAAACGCTTTTAATAAATTAGTAATGAATTATCACAATATGTAAGGGAGCAGACTGATGACCAGCCTGGCCTGGCAGCGCATACACGATGTCAATTTCGCTTTATGGTCTGACGTAAAACCAACTGCATTTTTGAACCACAAATTCAAGACAATGGTGCTCTGTGATGCGTGATCCTGGAATGTAAGCCAAGGTATCATTAAAAAGTACAAAGCTTCATCTTTAACATGATACTAAACTTTTTGCTAGTAAACGTATTGTCTGGCCATAATAAACCTTTAAAGTAGGATTACTTTTTTTTCTTCTTCGACACCCTGCTGTTTTTAAGTAAGTCCGTAATCTAAATAAATAAAGAAGAAACTGAATCGTCTGCAAGTGTTGTCAAATCAGGTGTAACTTAATTAAAATAAATCTCAACGCCTGAGGAAGATATTTGCATTTTTTTGTTTAGCTCCGAGTTTCTTTTAAAAAAACACACCTTTCATAGAACAACGGAAATGGAAAGCGGCAGCATTCTCGAGCAGCTGCAGGCTGCGAGTATAATAGTCACATCCTCTGTCTCTTAAAGTAAACAAGATTTCTGGCTACGCAACTGGCAGTCCCGGACATCGCAGGGAGCCTCCCTAGCAACAGTATTTCTAGGCAACCGGGTTGGAATGAGACAATGGTCACGCTCCCGTGGCTCGAATTACAACGTGATTGGCAATCACTCCGGTTGAGCGTCGGTGTAAGGAACGTCCTATAATGAAAGCAACCAATGGCGGATTTATTTGCCGGGAACCGGCTCATTTAATTGGCTGATATTATCATCACTGTTCACCAGCAAAGAGCCCTCCATTTACTGGCGGCACTCCAGTTGAGCGTCGGCGTAAGGAACGTCAACAATTTATGAAAGCAACCAATGGCGTAATTATTCGCCGGGAACCGGCTCATTTAATTGGCTGAGATATTATCATCCCTGTTCACCAGCAAAGAACCCTCCATTTACTGGCGGCACTCCAGTTGGGCGTCGGCGTAAGGAACGTCAACAATTTATGAAAGCAACCAATGGCGTAATTATTCGCCGGGAACCGGCTCATTTAATTGGCTGAGATATTATCATCCCACCAGCAAAGAACCCTCCATTAACTGGCGGCACTCCAGTTGGGCGTCGGCGTAAGGAACGTCAACAATTTATGAAAGCAACCAATGGCGTAATTATTCGCCGGGAACCGGCTCATTTAATTGGCTGAGATATTATCATCCCTGTTCACCAGCAAAGAACCCTCCATTAACTGGCGGCACGTCACAAATTCGGGTTTCTTACAGCTGAATTCAAACAAGAGATGTATTGTATCAATTTCATTGAATAATGTCGCTACCAATCATTTTCTGGAAGGCTATTTCGGAGCTGAGCTTTGATTTGAGATTCTTTTTTCAGAAACCGGGGAAGATTTTGGGGGATTAATATTCCAAGTCAAAATAATTTATTAAATGTTGCTCCACGTTATGTTTGGCGGGTTTTTTTTGTCGTAGTAGATTTCATTCTTTGCTCATTAAAAAAAACGTTTGGCCTGCAATATTTTGTGTAAATGTTGCTCTAGAATATAATTATTTCGGAATATATTTTGACATTAGGTATTAGGTGAAAGGGTTTTTGTTAATCTTATTCTTATTCCTTTCAAAATTATTTTCCAAAACTATTGCGTCATTTGTATTATGATAATATGATCCCCCTTTATCTACAGAAGAATTAACTGAGACTTAATTCAGAAAGTAATGCATGGGCAAGGGTGTTTGAAATCGTTTTACTTAAAATTAAAAAAAACAATATAAAGAGAATGAGACATATTATATCACATTGAAATAACTCCTATTTATTTGTTGTCTGTCTCTAGCTCTCTGCGGCCGAGACGATTAAAGGGGTGACGATTTTATTCTTCGTTTATTACAAAAAGCTGCATGGCCTACATTATTCTGTTTAAATATTCTACTCTTGAATGTATTTTGGAACATGTACACATTGCTTTTGACGTTCAGTATTAAATTTAGGGCTATTGTTAGTCTTGATCATATTCATTTAAAAAAAAATTAAAAGTATTATTCGTATTAAATTTCTTCTGGAATTTACAAAAGAAAAACTTAGAGTTCACAATTTAACGGGCTGGGGTTTTTGAAACTGTTTTGCTTTAACAAAGAAAAAGAAAAGAAAACAAATCCCATAAAAATACGAAAACCCGAGCCTACCTCGTATTAAATTTTCCCCTGGAATCTACAAAACAATTAACTGAATGTTCAAAATGTAACGGACTAGGGTGTTTTAAAAAAAAATAGAGAACCAGACGTAAATCTCTCTCTGAGAAAATAATCTCTCTCTGAGAAAATAACAGGGGCTGACGATTTTATTCCGAGTCTATTTTCAACAACAACAACAACAACAAAAAAACTTCCCAATAATGATTGACAGCTATCTGATAACAATGTATCTCTTCGTTCACAAAGAATTGGCAGCATGCTTCTCTTGTTACATTCACTTCTTGTATTACATCCGTTGGAGATTCTTTGATGATTAAGTGAATGTAAGAACTGAAAAAGGATGGCCAATCAGTCACTGCCCTTTCACAAATTCTTATTTTAATTGGCTAAAGACCGTAGCCCTAGTTTCTGTTCCGCTTGTGTTTTGATTGGACGGCAGTTACTGCATTTGGGAGTATGCTTTCTAACAAGGTGCCGGCAATTTTTTTTTTTTTTTGACTGGGGGAGGGGGAATTGTTCAGGGTGTAGTGATTCGTTTCACCTGGATTAGCCAACTTGTGGGAAATGAACGGCGCAAAGACGGCCGTCCCAGGGCGAAAAGCCAAGCCGGTATTTCCGGCGATGTGCGGTCTGTCTTCCACACACAGGCGTTCCCCACTCGTGAAGCCACACGTGGTACAATTCGCCAAAGAGGAGCCGACTTTTTTTACTGGGAGGGAATTTTTAAGGTGTAAAAACTTGTTCCTCTTTGAAAGGACATCATTCAGCCGCCAATTTGCGGGAAATTAACGGCGCAAAGACGGCCGTCCCAGGTGCAAAGCCAAGCCGGTATTCCGGGGCGGTGTGCGGTCTGTCTTCCCCACGCGTGGGATAGTTTTCCCCGCGCGTGGAGCCACGCGTGGGACAAAGCGCCAAATCTAATCCCGCATTTTATTCCCGCGCGTGATTATCGCGTTGAGCCGGTCTCCGTCTTTCTGTCAGTGAAAGAAGTATTATTCCGAAGAACAAAATGAGTCTTTGTTCGGGACTGGACATTTCAAGTTTCCTGCATGGGAATAGAATATTTGGGACATAAATTCTCTGTAGAGATAGGGAACAGAATATTCTATACCGAGAAAAACTAGGCGGGAAAAATATTCTCGCAAACCAGGAAAACACTATTATAACATGAGGGGGAAAGATCTCTTCGGACCCATATACGAAAAAAATGATGCTGTGGTAAAGTTGCAAGTTTTCATTCATGTTTTTATTCAAAGAGGAATATGAACAGAGCCAGTTAAAAAAGGGCCAGTATCTTTCATAATAATCTGCTCCGGAGAATAAAAAAAAACACTTCCCAAAGAATGATTGACAGCCAACTAATAGCGGTGTCGTCGGCAGCATGCCTCTGTTGTCCAATTGACTTCTCGAATTACATCCGTGTAGAGTTTCTTTGTTGACTAAGGGTCATGGTCTGCAGCCAATTAAAGTAGGAATTTGTGAGATGGCAAGATGTGATTGGTCGTCGTTTGTCGTTCTGACATTCAGCTTCGTTCCACTTGTGTTTGATTGGACGGCAGTACTGCCTTGGGAAGTATTCTTTCATAGAACTTGAGAAGGAGCCGACTTTTTTTTACTGGGCGGGAATTTTTAAGGTGTAAAAACTTGTGCCTCCTTGAGTTGACATCATTCAGCCGCCAACTTGCGGGAAATTAACGGCGCAAAGACGGCCGTCCCAGGCGCAAAGCCCAGCCGGTATTCCGGGGCGGTGTGCGGTCTGTCTTCCCCGGCCCCACGCGTGGGATAGTTTTCCCCGCGCGTGGAGCCGTGCGTGGAGCCACGCGTGGGACAAAGCGCCAAATCTGTTCCCGCATATTTTTCCCGCGCGTGATTATCGCGTGGAGCCGCTCTCCGTCTTTCTGTCAGTGCCCATGTGCAAAACACTGCGGCGTACACGCGATAACCACGCGTGATTAGCGCGATAAACACGCGGTAAACCTAGCTAGTGATAAAATGTAAATAGCGTGGTATGCGTGTTATCGCAGGAGTCTAGATTCTTTCGCTCCACACTGTAAATAACTTTTTTTGTATTGAAAAGACTCAAGTGTGACAAGTTCTTTATTCAATTCCATAAGCATTGTCAATATTCAACACAGCTCCATAACTGTAATGGAGGGAACATAACCTGAATATTCCTTTCCAAGGCCAAAAATAAAATGTGATGTGGTATGTACAAACAAGTGGAACTTTGTCAAGGGGAGAAATATGCAGGACAATATTTTTAATGCATTAATGTTGCAAGGGTTAATCGAGTTAATCTTAAAAAAAATTGAAACTAAAATTGAATGAAACTCGACTGTGGCTCTCTTTCTGTATGTATACCTGCATTTTATCATGTTTTGATGATGCTTTGTGATTTTGAAAAACAAATTTGTGTAAAGGTGTAATTGTCGTCATATAGCATAAAAAATGTCTAAAGAAAATTCAAGTAAAACAAAAAGACAACATTTCACTTTAAAACCACAGAGACATTTTATTCAATTTTAAGTTCTAAAAACAAAGAAAATGCACTTGACACGTAACCTTATATACATGTACATGATGTCTGCTTGTTTAGCCAATCAGTATAAAGCAACTGCATTATGTATAAAGCAACTGCATTACTGATAAAACAGCATTTATAACAAGACGGTTCTCAATACAAATTGGGTTAAGATTTTGCTGAGTAGAATTAATACAGTATCATCTCGACCAACATCGAGGTAACTGGATGGCTGGTAACTTATGTAAGTCAATGTTCATATGGTCAACTGGTGATTCTGACACTTGCTTGGCACTGTTCCAAAGCCCAATTATGGCACCGCTTAAAAAAATACAGGCAAAAAATGGCACAGCTCCACAGTGAGTGTGCTTTGCAGCGCCCTGAAAATTGGGACCAGCTTTTAAATTATGTTGCTTTAAAAAACAACAGGATTTCAGTTCTGTCCAGTACTGTCACTTACAGGGACAAGAAGTGACTATTTGTTTTTCATTATTGGAGATTGGTCACTCAGAGAGGTCTTCATCCATCAGTCAGCCGCCTCTTCATCTTCTTCCTCATCATCGCTGACGACCACGGCTCGTTTCTTCTTGCGGGAACCCTCTTCCTCCTCGGACTTGCGCTTTCTGCTGGGCTCATCCTCATCAGACTGTTACCCAAACAAACAATAAGTCCAAAGGCAATTATTAAACATAAAAGCTGTGTGTGTTATTGTTGGGGGGGTCCTTTTTGCGACTCTTTTTTCATCTCGTCTATTATTCATTTCATCAATTTGTAACGTTAAGGGAATAACAAAAATACTGGTCGGGTACATTCCTCTTCTGGTTTAATTGCTAACAAAGACCCTTTCTGAATTTGCAGGGTTTTTTTGTGGAGGGAGGGGGGCACATGGGGGCACTTGGAATTTGTGGGGGGCATGGTGGGATAACGGATCAGTCCAGATTTGGCCTTTCTGGCTTCACAGACTTTTCAAATAACTAAACTTAACTAACGCACTAACCAGTAGAACCTAATACATTACCAGCTATGACAAAATACTTTGTGGCATACTGGCTGATTACTTGTTTTTATAAGCATAGTTATTTGTGTTGAGCAATTTTGCTGATGCACAGCTATGGCCGATGTTTCTTGTGTCATTGTCACCATTCTTCTCACCTCATCGCTGTCCAGATTCAAGGTCTTTGCCTTCAGGAGTTTGTCCTCCTTATCTGACTCGTCCTCATCCGAAGAGTAAATGTGATGTCTGTCGGCTGAAAAGAGAAAATAAACATTAAGTTGAAAATCTTGAAAGATGCAGACGTACCGGTAGTTACATCAGCCATTGAAAACACTTGCATTTGCATCCCAGGTTTTGGTGGTTGGTGTATGCTACCATTTGGTACTCCTTAATGATTAACCAACTGCCACATAAATGTAAACATCTGTTTCTTCAAAATCAGTGCTCTAGACAAGTTCATCACAAGACTTAGTGCGATCACAAGAAAAGCACAACCACAAGTCAATTCACAAATACGGTCATAAGAGATCAAATGCCTAAGTCATGATCCATCTGAATAGCTTGTGACTTGGGCCTGGAGGACTTGTGATGGACTTGAACACTGTTCAAATCATGACTATTGGAAACATTCAGTAATGCGAAGGTTCTCCTCGGGGCATCACGTAACTCACAAGAGAGGTTAAGTTTGAACTGCTTTTATTGTCGACCTCACCAAACTTTTAATTCTAAACCAGGACCCAACTTCATTCTGTGCTTACGATCTAAAAAATTATTGGATGTCCGTAGCGTGTTTACAGTTCCTGCTACACTAGTCAGCAGGAGGTTGTGGGTTCGAAACCCACCCGAGTAAGCTTGTGAATATTTTCTTACAAGCCCTCGGATAACATCAGTGAAGAGCAAAATGCAGTAGTGAATTTACATCTCGACACAAACTTCCACCATACAAAATAGTGCCTCACTTTTGCCCATGGTGTTTTTGACACCCTTCTTGATGGCTGAAAGGCTGATAGTCCCCTCATCGTCATCGTCAAACTCGTCCTCTCGGTCTGGCTCCAGGTAAGACGCGCTCAGGCCTCGGTTGTGCGCCCTCTCCCGCACGCGACGCTGGGCGCTCTCTCTGCGTATCTGCGAACGCAGTCTGTCCTCTTCTTGCTGTGTATCAAATTAAGAATAATACAAATTTTTATAAAATGTGCTCGTCCGCCACCAACAGGCTATGGGCTTTTTGCGCAAACTAGAGAGGGCGCTTTTTGACTTTTGAGAGCCCAGTGGACGGGGCACACTGCATACGTGTACTGGTTACACACGACGACTTATATTCTGAATGTGCAAAAAGCCATAGCATCCTTCGCATGAGCGTCAGGCGTCAGCAGCAATGCGTTCGAATGTCTCTCCCAGTGGTCTCCCCAAACTCTATCTTTCTTATCGTTGAGGGGGTACATGTGCACAGAGCCCATAAAGCCAAACATGAAGATTTTGCAGTATTACATAAAAAGCTTGAAAAAAAAATGGGGGGGGTCAGGTATTAATAGTTTGTATTGATTTCCAAATGAAGATTATGAATTTTACTCTGGTACAATGATTCCTTTTAAAAAGAAACTCTTGTCTTCTTGAGAATTAAAAATTCATTTCTAAAAACAAGGAAAGTTTAAGTTACGAATATTTCTTTCATTTTACATTTTACAATATATTTCACACAACAGCACATTAAAATACTGAAGGCTAAGAATTATCTTTGACCATACAACGCCAAGAATACAAAAGATTACAAGTTCTGAATCTTAACCTACCTTTAGCTTTTCAGCTCGCTGTGTTTCAGGGTCTTTGCCTGCCATGGGTAGGACTCTGATCTTCTGGGTCTTGGAGCAACGATCGGCCAGAGATAACGTCATCTTCCTGTGGGTTGCACTGTCTGTGGAATGCGGTCTGCAATAAGAAGAAGCCATGGGGAAACCCTTCAATAATTAAGGAGGTTTAGTTTCTATTTCTACAATCAAATAAACCCTAATCTTTGAGTATTTCTGGCCAAGAAACTTCCTAAATTGGGCATAATTCACACAATAATAATACACATGCTTTAATTCTTTGCATATGGGAATAAACTGCCTCAACCTTTGTACCCTGTCGCTTGAAACTGACCTGCAGTGTTTTAAAGTGGTTTTCATAATTGCTCTGAATATTGACTTCCCACAAGGAGGGTAAAGGAAATTGACACAGGCCACATCCGAATCACATGTGGCTCGTAATTATGCATGTGTCTATGGAAGCGGCTAAAGACACTTCCCATGTAATTCTGTCAGCCATAGCCCCATAATTTGGACTGACTGCGACTGACCTGAATGTGAGTTTTGTCTTGAAGACCGTTTGTCCCTGCAATCCCGTGCCTTGCCTGATGAACATGTGGTTGTGGTCACCCTGTATGGTGGTCTTGTAGATATCAAAGACTTCCTTGCCAAGATGCAACGACATGCTGCCAAAAAAACAAACAAATAATGGCTAAACCTACGATCTGCTTCATTCTGATTTTAATTACAATGGCAGGTCTGCAAGTTTTTTTCCAGTTGCGTTAAGAGCACATCATGCAGAAATTTCGTTACATCTTATTTAAATACATTTGGTGAGTGCGGCCAAGAAATAAAAATGTCTGCACTTAGGAAGCTAATAATAGTCTGCATGACGGAATAAGGAGTTATCACTATTGTGGGTTTATATAGTTCTATGGCCCATCTGTCAGTCAATCTTTATCTCTGTCCATTCATAACCCCTTCCTTCCCTCAATGTGCATGCTGGTGATCACTAGAACACACTCACAATTCAAGATTAAATTCTTCAAAACACTTCAGAATTCGCAAGCGCAAGCATGATGCAACGATCAACATTACATTCAAACATTAAAGAATACTTTTTGTATGTATGCATTCTGGGGGAACCAAGATGGCGGACGATTGCTTCAGTACGCGGATGTTATCAGATAATCCATTTAGTATAGAGGTCAGTATTCTGAACCCTACCTTCCATCTGACCACCTGACAACTCTAGAGTTGCTCTCTCTATCCATCTCATTTCCTTCAGCATCAAGTCTCTTCCGCCAACGGATTGTGTTCTCAACCTTACAGAAAAAAAAAACAAATACCACAAAGTGTTTATGATTTCAGAAGGCAAAAAAGAAGAAGAGATCTTTGGATCATTAAAAATTCAAGGTGCAGCCTTTAAAATTCAGGATGCAGGTTGGGTTTGGTAGCCCGGTTCCCATGTTATTTATATCTGAAAATGAATATAGCTATGTTAAGGATCAGCGAATGTTAAACATGTATGGGTCGTTCTATAAATTAAGAGTCCAGTTTTTTCTGTCCCTGTTAAATCTGACATTTATGATTTTATAATTCTGATGCACTCCTTAATGCAGGCGTCCTCCACGAGTGAATGAATAGTAAACTACGTACCCAACAAATAAAAAACAATTTGAAGTCATTTTTGATAATACTTGAATGTCTAATTACAAAGTACCAAGTAACAGGGACAGAAAAAATATCACACTTTGGACCCTCAATTTACAAAACGACCCATTTTTGTAAACAATCAACACCGGTCCTGACCTTGAGTTTGAGTCTTGTCCTTCCTTCTTCATCCAAGACGTCATCTTCGTCCATCTCTTCCTCATAGAATGCTTGGTCAAACGGTCTGCAACAAAAATAAGCAACAATAAGTCTAATTTTAAATTTAGCTGTTTTTTTTTCATTTTTGCTACTCTATTTGCATTCAGAATACAACATTACTACTGATTCTTTTTACCCAAACTAAAAACGCCCTACTAATGTGGCTGCCACATTTCAAAAAAAGGTTAATGGCATTGCCCGTTAAGATGCGTCCATACCTTGTTTCAACACTGAGAAAGTTGGGCAGTTTGACAAAGTGGAGTTCGTCTCCCAGATCAGACATCAGTCTAGGAAGCTCTACATCTATCCTGGTGTCTTCAGGAACCTCTTGTGGCGCTGCGTCCTCATCGTCATCCTCACGTCTCTCAGTCTCCTCCTAAATTCATTAAAAAAAAACAGGCATTTCACATTTTGTTTTTGTAATCTTAAAACCAACTTTTCTTAAGTCTTTGTGAGACACAGTGGACACATGAGAAGCTATTTGGAGAATGCAAAATCGTTTGTATATGGGTCATTCTACAAATTTGAGTCCACTGTTTTTCCTGTCCCTGTTACATCTGACATCTATGATTTTATAATTCTGATGCACTCCTTTACGAAGTCATCCTCCAAGAGTGATTATGAACAGCAAAGTACCTACACAACAAATACAAAAAAAACAATTTTAAAGTCAATCTTGATGATACTTGAATAAATAACTCTGCTAAACAATATCTTTAGCAAAAATTGTATGGCTAATTTATTTTTTTTTTTTTCTCTAGTGTACCATTTCTGCGGCCTCTGTTTCATCCCTTTCGACATCTTCTTGGGTTCCGCCAGCCAGCTGGTCAACAACGGCATCTAAATCATCCTCACTGTCTGAGATGTCATCCGCTTCACCGAACAGTGCCTCCTGGGATGCTGCACCTATGCAAAGACGCACAGGGAGAAAACAATATAACATTAGTATGCTACAAAGGTTGAATAAGGCGTGCAAGTTAAGCTAATACGGATAAGTTTTCCAGTAATAAACTGTGTACATCATATTCAAGCTACGAATTATCGTTTTTTATTTGGGCAATTCAAGCATTATGAAAGGACATGTAATGTCTGTGACAGAGCAACTTAACCATTATATTTAATAAAATGTTCAGAGAAATGATGTAAAACTCCTCGTCTGTAATCTCCTTGACTATTACTAGACTATGGATGCGTAAGATTTGAAAAAATATACTTTTAGTTTTATTCACTGAGGTCTTGAAACATCTGTCACAGACAATATGTAACACTGAAATGACGCGGCTTATTTGGTAAAAAGACAATAAATAGGTTGTGTGAAAAAAACAAAAGTATAACAATTCACTTTGCAAATATTGAAAATTGGTGACCAACAGATAAAGACTCAAATTTCAAGACAATCAATCATGCACATTAGTATTTGGTAAAGACATGGATGGGAGTCTGTGATGGACTACATTCACATAAAATGTGAACATGATTTGGCAAGTCTTGCACTTGTCTATAGGAATGATTCACAATACTGTCCCAAATTAAACTATTGGCCTCCCAAAAAAACACGCCATGCCTGTTACTCCCTGTACCAACCCAAACTGCCCAGCACTGTATCGTTCTCTGGATTTGTCAGGAAATAAATACAAGTAGTTATTACTACCATTTTCAAGCAACCTACCTGCATCCATTGGCTCTCCTCCTACCTCCGAGCCTTGGTCACTTTCCTCATCGCTCCCTGTTGTCTGCTTCTTCTTGGGTTTGCGTCTCCCGATGAAATCATCTTCATCTTCACTATCAAGACCATCATCTCCTGAGACAAGAATTAAACAAGTATTGAACTGTGTGTATTAATTTCGGCAAAACAAAATGAATGTTATTTTGTACCTCTTGAATATCTTTTAATCTTCTGACAGAAGACTACTGAAAGTCTCACAGGGTTTAATTACTTTTTGGAGTATTTATGCTTAAACTGACATGCAAGTAATGAATACAGAATGTGTGCTCTGAATAATTTGATTCAGGAACCATGTATGACAGCAATTTAGTAATTCGATTGGGGAAGGCTGGATTGCAACATTTTCCACCACAAATTGGTTTCTTGCACAATGCTCCTTCTGCAACTGGACAACTTCTTTCTGTTCGGTAAGTTTTCGAACTGTTGAATCCATTTTCAAAACAAGTATTAACCTAAAACTCCTATGGTTTTGTATTCAAGGCTTTTACAAGTGGTGCTTTTCACTTCTGTGAAAATTTGGGAACGTTTTTCCCTTAGAAAACACAAAAATAAGGATCAAGAGGTTGGCAATTGCTTTAGGCCAAAAAAAAGGCTCCGGTTTCTGGTATGCGCACGCGTCACCGTAGCCATGTGCGTCGGCAAAATTAAACAGTTTTTTTTTTAATGTAAGATGATGTCTCAAAACCGCCAAACTCACTGGTTTGACTGGAATCCTGCTGCTGCACAATTTTAAAGTGTTTTTAGATCGAGTACGAGAGGTTACGATCGAGTAAAAGCTTTATGTGGCCTCTCTGGGCTCCCATATATTTTGCACTAAATTTAGTAGGGCACCATTTGCAGTCATCAGCCAACATTTGAAGAAAAAAAAAATTAAAAAACTTTTGGGGCAAGCTCCATACCAGAAATCCAATTTTTGGGGGGCCTTAGCTGCTTATGTAGTGAAATGCACCAAAGATTTTTACTCACTTGTCTGTTTCTCCTGATCAGACGGTATTCCATCTTCCTCTTTTTCACTCTGCTGACCTGCCTCCTCATTATTCTCAGCCTCTTCACCAGATACTTCCCCTCTCTCCTCCTCTCCTGATTGCCTAGCAACCGCATCATTGTCTCCATCTTCGTCTTCCTCTGGCAGCTGCCTTTCATCTCCTTGCTCATCGTGTTGGTTTTCATCGTCCACTTTCTCTTCGACATCTTCTGCTCCATGTTCTGTTTCGTCTTCTTCATCGACATCTTCTCTGTCGGATGCTTCATCGACATCCGGATGCTCCTCATCCTGCGACTCTTGTTCAATCATCTCCTCATCACTACGTCCTTCTTTCGTGGCATCGTTCTCATCGACCTCCAATGCCCCACCAAGGTGGTCCTCTCCTTCATCCTCATCTTCGTCTCGCACCGATTCTTGGTCTCCTTCCCCATCTCCGCCTTTCTGGTAGACATCATCTTCCCCGGATTCATCACCTGCAACCTCCTGATCCTGGTCTGACTGGGCAGCCTGATCCTCTTCTCCCGATCTATCTGCCTCCGCACGCTCCTCCTCCTGATCTGAATCCTCCCGAGCTTCTTGGTCTGAGTCCTCCCTAACCTCCTGCTCAGAGTCCATGCCAGCTTCTTGGTCCGACTCAACTCGGGCGTCTGGATCCGAATCTTCCCTGGCTTCGTGCTCTGAATCTTCCACGGCTTCTGGTTCGGAGTCCTTACCAACTTCGTCTCCCGATTGATCTTCCATCCCATCCGCTGCCTGTTCAACAACTTCATCGTCCTCTTCATTTTCCCTGTCCTCCTCAACCTCTCTACCATCCTCACCTCCATCTGATTGCTCTTCTGCTCCTGAGAGATGCTCTTCACCTTCTTCTTCCATCTCTTCTTCCCCTTCCTCTTCCTCATCTGATCTGTTTCTGCCATCCTCTTCTCCGGACTGCTCACTCCCTGAATGGTGACTCTGATCACTGTGCTCCATTTCTGACCCTGCCTCCTCTGTAGTGGAAAATGACAAGCATTTCAAGATAGTCTTAAAGATCCAAGTTTATTTTGTTGACCTCTCTACTCTCTAGACTCCCTTCATATAATTATAAGACTTATATTAAAGAAGCACTGGGGCATAATAATAATCTTGGCCCTTGGGAAAGGTATAAAAAGTTACTTAGTACTAGTAATAGTATACTGTAATTAACACACACAAAAAATAAGGTTTACCGTTACACTTTTACAGTCTACATTTCAAAGCTAAAAAATGCAAATTTCTGGAGCTTTTTTAGTCATAGGTCACAGGTTGCACTGGCAGTGAAAGTTAACTCAGTCAGAGGCAGTCAAGTATCTGGAACCCATCCATTATATATTTTACCATGTTTACGTTTTATTGGGCTAGGGAATAATGTTTGTTAGGTTTCCTGAAGTAGGAATCCTAAAAGCAAAGGCAGTGTATATTTTGCCGGAGACGGCAAACCTTTAGTAAACGTTAGTTTGCCGGATATGCACTGAACATGCGCAGTTACTGTTTTTTTGTACTTAAACATTTTCCGGTGAAAAGTTTTAGTCTGGCTCCATGCCAAAATTATCGTTGTTACCTCGTATTCACAAGATGGGATTCAGACCATTTTATAATTTCGGACTTTATTTCCCTTTTAAAAAAAATCCTCCAGAGCCACAAATCTGAAAAAGAAAATGTAATACTCTGCAAAAAAATGTTTGAGACATGTTAAAATAATAAAAGAAGAATATTCTTATTTATTTGGGGATGAGAAAAAAAAAACTTAAAAAATGTGGTGCGGTCGGAATCGAACTCGAGTCATCCCGCTTACTAGAGCCTTTGCTTAACCACTACACCAAACGTGCTACACAACTTTAGGTGGGAATTTAATACATCTTATAATTCAGCCCTATCTTAAAGAGTACAGCGCCCTCTGTTGATATGGATTGCCGCCGGCAAACCTTTAGTAAACGTTAGTTTGCCGTCATTACCTCCGGCAAAATATCCACTATCAAAAACAAATGCCTACAACTACATACAGTCGGCCTCTAGCCTACTGTCACTGACTGTAGTGGCAAGTTCGAGCACCGCACGTACGCGCAACACACAGCCACAGCTTCCTATTTCGAAAATACAATAAATTATTATTTAAACGAACCCTGATCGTCGTCGCCACTGTCACTTCCAAACAGTCCCGAATCCTCCTCATTGTCCGCCATCATAGGTTACTAGCGGGGCATGAAATGTACAAAATTGTACTCAACTTGTTGTAGCGCAGCAGGATAGATTGTCGCAGCTCATGCAATAAATACGATCTTTGGTACACGTGAGGGCGCTGCGCAAGGTCAGACAATTCAGCAATCCTCAAAAAAATGTTACGTTCCTCGTACTCTCAATTCATCAAAATCGATTTCTGTCTTTTATTAGAAAATGTTCAACTTGTGTATTTTCTCTTAATAATGTTTTTTTTTTCTTTATTGGATGTCTGCAACCCTCTGAAATACTTTCTTTTTTTTTAGGGGCACAAACAGATCCGCTTTCCGAGCAGACTGGCTCGCGGTCTGTACATTATCATGATGCTGATTGTGGGGCGGGAACCATGCCCAGTACCCCGCGAAAACGGCGGATATTGTGGGTTTTGGCAGCCAATAATTCACAATAATTCAATAACTCTATAACCATATGAGCCAATGTTTTCGGTCGATGTCTCATTCAAAATGAATAACTTTTGTATTGCTTGAAAAATAGCAATTAATGTGAATCTATTTTTCCGGATGAAACTCGCACACGGAACGCAACTTATAAACCAACGAAACGCCAAAACAAAATAAATCACCGAAAGCGAATCGCTAAATACTAAGTTATCACATTATTCGTTTTATGATAATATCCAGCCAGTTGAATTCAGTCTTCTTTTACTAAATAAGCTTTCGCCCTTGAACAACAATTTTTAAAACCAATTGATCATGTGACCCCACGCAATGTTTTTTTACCTGTACTGCGCTGTAGGATAATTTTCTGTTCAATTTTACCACTAGAGGTGACCACGCCAATTGTTTTCAATATTTCCCTCTCCCAAAACTACCCCTAAAACGCTTGCCAATATCCATGGGCCGGCCCAGCTGGTGTACCCCCCCCCCCCCCCCCCCCGCCCGCCTCTATGCGAAATAATAGTCCCATAAGTTTTTGGGTCTTTTTTAATAACTTATCGCCGAGTTTGATTGAAGGCACAAGTCACAAATACTTGATTTACATTAATATTTCTACAATCCATCCCGGTCAATTTCCGGCCTCAATGACCTCTTATTCAAAATTAACTGGGGGGGGGGGGGGGGGGGGGGCTAAGGAGCGTCAAAAGTGGACAACCGTATCAGTTTCCCATTTTCTGCTATAGTAGACTTGAATTTAAGAATTCAGAAATTGCAGCACCGTTTTTTTAACAAAATCTATTTCATGCTAGCAGAAGTTTGGATTTTACTTTGACGAATATCCGGGCGCCTCAAAAGTGGACAATTGAAAATCTCAAATTCTTACTAGCAAAATGATGTTGCTCCAAAGGTAGATAACCCCGTTCTCCCATTTCATGCTTGCAGAAATTTAGATTTTAGAAGTCACAACACCCGTTTTTTAAAATGGTTTATTTTCGGCAAGCAGAAATGTGGGTTTTTACTTTGACAACTTTTCTTAACGCCTCAAAAGTGGACAACTAGAAATCCGTAATTTCTGTAAGTAAATATTCATCAGGCAGGTCAACTCACGGTACCCGAGTCAACTCGTACCCCGGCCTCGCCTTTACCTGAGTCAACCACCTGAGTCAACTCGAATCCAATGTATGCCTATAGTAACTCGTCCCCGGGTACGAGTTAATTGAGTCGACTAGTACGATTTGACTCGGTACTTACAGAAAGTACGGATTTAGTTGTCCACTTTTGAGTCGTCAAGACAAAAAAATCCCTAAATTTATGCAAGCAGGAAATGGGAAACGGGGATTTTTGGGACTAAAAGTACAATTGGAGGCATTTTACTCGGTAAGAATTTGAGATTTTTAGTTGTCCACTTTTGAGGCGCTGAGATAGTCGCCCAAATTTCTGCTGGCAGAAAGTTGAGTTTTTTGAAATATTTCTAAATTCCCTAAAAGTAAAATTCTACTAGCAGAAAATGGAAAAATACCGGTGGTGGACGTACGTGTGCACCCTTATTAGAAGTTTGTATCATGAATAAACCTTGCTCAACCCCCCCCCCCCCCCCTAAAAAAAAGTTGAAGTTCAGCTTTCCTTTGGCGCTTTAGGTTTTTCCTTTGAATGGCTTTGTGATTCAGCACCTTAAGCTTTGTGGGCGACTTACTGTTTTTGTCTTGCCCGACAGTCGCCTCCCGGATCCCGCGGAACAAAGAGTTTCCGCGTAGCGCGATATTGCGTAAGTCACCTGACATATTTTTATCCAATGATTGTGTCTGTATGATTTGGAAATGTGCACGTTGTCGAATTCGACTGGTATATTATCGTATTATTCAGATTAAGGACCAAACTATTTACGTTATTTAAAAAAAAATCTTTCAAAGTCGAACATAAGCCACTTTTAATGAATAACAACTACTGTTTGGTAAATTCATGGAGGAATATAAGAACGAATGGGTACGCCCCTTGTTTTCTATCGGATAATTCTATTGGATAAGAATAACACGTGGTACCGGCTTCTAGAAATTTCTTTGACCTTTTTTTTCTGGCACGTGTTACCCGGCGCCGGCTTTGACGTCATTTAAAGAGCGAAGTGTTTCCTCACCGGTCGGAAGTCCTCGTCCCAACGTAACAAAAAAATCTCCAAATTCACCCATTTACTACACATTCCTGATTTTTTTTTATAACCACCGATTAAAAGGTAAGTGTTATAATGATAATTCTGTGGGATAACGTTGCTTCGATACGTTTCTTTTACAGGGTTTTTCATTGAAAATCGTATTAAATTAAGAAGATAAAGTGCGACTGCGACTTGTGCGAGTTGTAAAAAATGTGTAGCCTAATCTGCATGCACGTGGTTTCTACTGGCATGACTGGTTGCTTGGACAAAAAAAAGTAGAGGAACTTCCCGATGTATTTTTTTTCCAATTTCCGATCATCACACTAGGTCAACTAAATTTCTAAAAGAACATCATATTGCCCAGGAAATAATGATGATCGTAAATGAATGATGGAATTTTTGTTCGTGAACATGATGATGAATGGGAGAATTTGACAAGAAAACCATCGGCCATGCCGGCGTTGAGAAATGTAAAAAACGAGAGTGAGATCGGAACTACGTATTTTATTATAATAACCATGTACTTTGTTTGCAGCAATCTGTGTTCTGACTTCTGTGTTAATCGGACTCGAGGTTTGTGCTTAGACAAATGTTAGAAATGAGTGGTATCAAATATCATGTCCATCCAGGCCCGTCACCAGCCCTGAGCGTCGGGGGGGGGGGGGGGGGGGGGGGAGGGGGGGGGCAAAGTACCAACTAGGTGGGCCCACTACCTTAAAAATTCAAAAATACACATGTATTGCCTTTGCCGTTGGGGGGGGGGGGGGGGAATTAAGATGATTAATGGCCAAGGGGGGGGGGGGCTGAATCGAACGGCACCAACTGTAAACTGCACAGGAAAATCGTAATTTCTACACCAAGAAACTGTTTAAAAATTACAAAAAAGGTGTCATTAGATTGAGAGAAGCCTGCTCTAGGTTGAAAAGGTAATTTTTTAGTAATAAAAAACACCCTTCACTCTAATTTTATCGAAACTAAACAGGGGACCTACACTACACGATCGCCCCTTATCTGGCCATCACTTTTCACCCTGTGCACAAACTGTATGAGACTGGTCTGAAAATTTCTAAGTGTTTTCTGAGTAACTTATTAAATATTTTCCCTGCTAAGCATGCTAAGTTTGACTTTGAATTTTTTTTTAGGACATTATCACTTTCCGATGGCTGATAATGATAGTGATAAGTCACTGAAGGTACAAATGAGTGATGGCCAGATATGGGAATTTTTCCCTGCAGTGACCTATCAGCCATCAGAAAGTGATACCATAACCTAAAAACTAAAAAGTCAAATTTAGCAGGGAAAGTATTGAAGCATTTACTGAGAAAACGCTCAGAATTTTTCAGACCAATCTCTGACAGGGGTTTGTGCACAGAGTGTTAAGTGATTGCTAGGTATGGAATTCCTTCCACCTTTTCTTACCTTACGAGAGGATATCATATTCATATATAGGCCTATGCCATCAACTCTTTGCAGTATGCCTCTGTGCATGCGGTAAGCATGAGGCCAAGCTTTGTGATTTAAATTTCTTTAATCCTGATGTGCCTGATGACAGTGAAACTGAAAGTGCTCACCCCTATCGGCCCTATCAAAAGAGGAACAAAGACATGCCCTCAGAAATGACGCCGACTGTGAAACCTCAGAACAACATGCTGGTAGCAATTTCCAGACGTGAACACACAAGGTGCAGGCTGCACTCTTTAGTTCCAATGAATTGTTCATAGAGATGGAGCACCCGCATCACAGAAATTCTAGATTTTCAATTACAACTTTCATTCAGTAGGCCTGATTGTCCGGAATTCTTCAGATTTTCTTTAAAAAAAAAAAGTTGCTTGCAAATACATGAATTGTAGCATGTATTGTGTCGTCTAGCATGTCAAGAAATGCAGTGGAAATTCTTGAAATTTAAAATATTTTTCAAAGATATTACTGTGGCCATGAACTGTGAAATGTTGAAATAAGATTACGCCCATTTCTCTTGTACTGATTTTTTTCTAAACCTTACTTCATTCAATAGCTGTGTATATAATTAAAACCATTCAAAGTACAGCCGACTTCAACAGCTACATTTAACATTTTAGGACAAAACCTTTTTCTCTCCTGATACATGTACATACATGTACACATGTGTGCATTAAATGGCAAGTCTACGTGTACATGTACATTGATGAATGTCCCACATTGGCTGTTATCTACAAGGCCAAATAAAAACAAAGTAGTTTCACGTCGGCCTTGTTTTTTTTTAAATGAAGGAGGTGGGCCCTTTTTTTTTTTTGTTCTTTTTTTTCTTTAAGATGGCGGATGGATTCTTTAATTTTGTTGACTATTCTGCTGTTACAAACTTGTGTCCAATGGAGCAATAACCCTTTCTACATACATGTTTACGATTTCGTTGGAAACAAATATTAAGATATATACAGTGTGCAAAATGTATTGCAAATGTATGAATTTATAACAGAAAAAGAAAAGGAGGCGGCCGGGAAAAAGGGGAAGCGGGCGGGGACGAAAAACTGGTTTATTTTTTTACTTGGCCATATGATTCAGCAATCCAGACTCAAGAACCATCCCGTTTCAATGACAATGGGTCTGGGAACAAGATCTGGAATTGTCAGAAGTTTATGGATGTCCGCAACAGAATGTAAAACTGAACACAAGATTTCTGACTTTTTGTTATTGTTCCAGAAATCACAATGGCTGCTCCGGCTGTGGGTATCGATCTTGGCACCACCTACTCCTGCGTGGGCGTTTTCCAGCACGGCAAAGTGGAGATCATTGCCAACGACCAAGGCAACCGAACAACGCCCAGTTATGTAGCCTTCACCGACACGGAGCGTCTCATCGGAGACGCAGCCAAGAACCAGGTGGCCATGAACCCCAGCAACACGGTGTTCGGTGAGATAGAAGTTTTCTGACAAATTTGACTTAAACAGTTGAAACAAAGGCTAGAATTTAAAAATTAACGGCAACTAAATAGGCCCTTTTTGTCAAGATCTGTCCTTAGCCCTTCAAAATCCTCCAGCTGCCACAATTCTTGATTTTCAGTAATATTTTGTTAGTTTTTTCCCTCCATATTTCAGGATTTTTCCCAGTATTTTCCAAATTTCAGAATTTTTGAAAAATCCATTTTTTTGAAATCTCGAATCCCTTGAGGTTTTACCCTGAAACTGTTTTTACCTATAAAAGTTATAATTTATTCTATATGAAAGTTTACAAAACAAAAGAAATGGGTGTTTTAAGGGGCTGCTTCGAGACAAAAACAACAAACAGTTACTTTAGACTTTATGTTACTCTGGAGCCCTCAGCAACCTCAAATGCTTTGCCGATTATTTCATGGATTTTTCATTCACCCCAATTCTCACTCCTATTAAATAGCTGGTTATTTTACCATCAACTTTGATCTTGTCTTTTAGATGCCAAGCGTCTGATTGGTCGTAAGTTTACTGACTCCACAGTGCAGTCGGACATGAAGCACTGGTCCTTCGAAGTCGTCGATGACGGAAGCAAGCCCAAGATTCAGGTGGAGTACAAGGGGGAGAGCAAGACGTTTTACCCCGAGGAGATCAGCTCCATGGTGCTAGTCAAGATGAAACAGACCGCTGAGGCATACCTTGGCAAGGTTGAAACGCTTTCTTCTATTTGTTGTTGTTAAAGATGTGACATTCACACATTAAAATTATGTATAGATAAATATAAAAGCTAAGGCTGTGTGTTTTCAAATAATTTAGTATTCAGTTATTCCAACTTGTACTTCATCTAATATTCACTGAAATGAAGTGTGCACTGATCAAAGTAAATATATGTCGGCCTAAATTGGCCACCGATCGGAATCTGCATGCACCTGCGCTTGTCAAAAATTGACAAAGGTCATATTAAAATACTACTAGCACTGGTAGAGGAATGGCTGATATTTGACCGATGTTAAAAGGAGAAACTTGAGATAATATTCCTTGTGGAAGCTGTAAAAGCCCAAGGCCGCCCCCCCCCCCCCCAAAGTTTTCAACAAAAGTGTGGCATATTTGACAAACAATAAAACCACACAAAAAATAGCATCGTGGGCGCTTTGCATTATCTCCTAGAGACTGCTGACATTCTTGTCATATTTGAATTGCAAAACATAAACGCTGTTTGGATGCTTGCCAGTTTCATTTGAAAAATATTTAAAATCAGTGAAGCCCTTAAACGTAAATAATTGACACAGCATTCCACCCATCTTAGATCACATCCCATCTTAGATCACATCCCATCTTAGATCACATCCCATTTCTTCAATGATCAGCTGCTTATTTGTATTTCATATTTTTGTCTCCTTCTACAGACTGTCACAAACGCCGTGATCACCGTACCGGCCTACTTCAACGACTCCCAGCGCCAAGCCACCAAAGATGCTGGCGCCATCTCAGGACTCAACGTCCTGCGTATCATCAACGAGCCCACTGCAGCTGCCATCGCTTACGGTCTGGATAAGAAGGTAATTGCTATAATGTCATGTGAAGCAAGGTGTTTGTGTTCTCGTGCAAGACACTTTACTACAATTGCGTCTCTTCACAAATGAGAATACATGTGTGAGGGTGGATAACAGATATCAAACTGCTGCAATAAGAATGGTCTCGTGTTCTGATGAACAGGGGTGATAATTCTACACGTACATGAGCAACAAGTTATCCTAAAAATTAGTGATTTTGACAAACTTTGTTGCCGCCATGCACCCATACTGAGGTACATCATATCGCACGATGATACCTAAGGTTTATGGATAGTCATTACAAAATTTGTTGTGTGCATTTTGCCTTGGAACTCGTCGCAAGTCATCGCTTGTCACAAGTCATGATTCGAACCTCCAGTCGAAATACAAGCTATTCATACGAACTCTGATAACAGCATTCAGTACTTCTGACCTCACTAGCAATTTGACATATGAGCTGACTTTTGATTGTCACAATTACAACTCTTGTCCGTGAGAAGGGGAAAAATTATAAAGAATACATACAGAAGAATATGTGTGTCTGTAACTGCAGGTTGGCAAAGAGCGCACCGTCCTGATCTTTGACTTGGGTGGCGGCACCTTTGATGTGTCCGTGCTCACCATCGAAGATGGCATCTTTGAGGTCAAGTCGACGCGCGGAGACACTCACTTGGGCGGGGAGGACTTCGACAACCGACTGGTGAACCACTTCATTGAGCAGTTCCAGCGCAAACACAAGAAGAACCTGCAAAGCAACAAGCGAGCTCTGAGGCGGTTACGCACAGCCTGTGAGCGTGCCAAGAGAACGCTGTCATCCAGCACACAGGCCAGGTCAGTAGGCACTCTATGTTCAGCTCACCCCCTGTGATTAATGTCCGAGAGAGGCACACACATTGTTGCCCACATCACAGTGGGCTGGACCTAATCTATTAACATGCATCTAGCTTCTTGATTAAAAATACTCTGCTTTACGATTAATTATTTTTATCTATTCTTTCCAACTTCACCCCTCTTTTTTTCCCAGCATTGAAATTGATTCACTCTTTGAGGGAATTGACTTCTACACCTCCATCACGAGAGCCCGTTTTGAGGAGCTGAACGCAGATCTGTTCCGAAGCACCATCGAGCCCGTAAGCAAGGCTATCACCGACGCCAAGATCGAGAAGAATCAGGTGGATGAAGTAGTCCTGGTGGGCGGCTCCACCCGTATCCCCAAGATCCAGAGAATCCTGGAGGACTACTTTGAACGGAAGGATCTGAACAAGAGCATCAACCCCGATGAGGCTGTGGCTTATGGAGCAGGTTAGAATGAGACCGCTGCTGAATCTCTTGTCAGTTATGACTGATGGGGTACATGCTGACAATAGGCATAGCCATAGCTCTGCAAGCTTGTTTCATGTTTAACTGACTTGGCTACAACTGACAATAACACACGTGCCAATGGAAGCTACCAGATCCACTTCTTATAGACACATGTTACTGCAGTCTGTAAAGAGGAATTCGGACACAGCCTAAGATGATATTGTTTCCTTCTTTCGAAGTCCAGCATGCAGTAACAGTTCCAGTCACATAGTCAAATGGCTAGTCCAACACAACTCCGATCACAAATCTGATTACAAGACCAGTCACTAGTCCGATCACAAGTCCAGTCACAAGTCCAATCACAAGTCTGAATAGCAAATACCTTCAAAGGAATCTTTGCCTTAAATCTCTTCAGATTAATGTGAAGTAATTCTTGGCCTTTCCCAGTTAGGTTAAGAATTCCCAATAAGGGCTAGGTTTTCTCACACCATTGGATCTGTTTGGATCATTTCTCCCGTTTTTTTTTCTTTTCTAAACAGCTGTACAGGCAGCCATCTTACACGGAGACAAGTCGGAAGAGGTTCAGGACCTGCTCCTGCTGGACGTAGCCCCCCTGTCCCTGGGTCTGGAGACCGCCGGCGGTGTCATGACGTCCCTGATCAAGAGGAACAGCACCATCCCGACCAAGAACAGTCAAAAGTTCACTACATACTCCGACAACCAGACCAGTGTACTCATCCAGGTCTACGAGGGTGAACGTGCCATGACCAAAGAAAATGTAAGTGGGGTTGTCTACCTGAGATTTTTGGGAATTTCAAACTGGAATAGAACGTTACCTAGAATGCAATGCGCACTGATGGAAACAACTGAGCTGGTTTGGAAACCGTTTGTCGGGTGACGTAACATACAGGTGCATTCGATGGTATGAGTCGCTGTCTGGTCTGCCGTATGGATTGGACGAATCATGGCCACGTCCAAATGGATGAAGAGCACTGATTTGATGATTTTCTTTTTTTAAGCCTTGGAAGGCCCAGTTTCTTTGCTGCTTGCAAGCTGTACATGCGTGGCTTGGAAAACAGCAGTAGGCCTACATACAGAAACCAGACGTGCTCCGTCCGTATCAGTTGTTGGCGTGTGTGTATAAAGGGTGCCCGCTTTGGTGAATCGCTGGACAGTCCAATAATCCATACGTGCTGACACATCTCACCACTAAGGATGTCTTGAAACCAAGACTGAAATACAAGCAGCAAATTGTGCAGGTTTAAACATTTATCCATTGGTGGAAATAAGCCGAATTATATACATTTATGCAAACTAATGAAAGATATACAGGGAAATGTCAAAGCCAAGCTCCATAACGTCATAACCACAAACTTACGTATGATCAGAAAATCCCATTACTGCATGCAGTGGAAACAGACCCTGAAGTTGACCTGTGATGCCTCTCAACTGTAAGTTTGACCCCCCTCATTTGTTTTTTGGTGTTTCTTCATTGATTGCAGAATCTTCTGGGCAAGTTTGAGCTGTCCTCAATTCCGCCCGCACCCCGGGGGGTCCCCCAGATCGATGTGACCTTTGACATCGACGCCAACGGCATCTTGAATGTGTCCGCCCAGGATACAAGCACCGGCAGAGAGAACAAGATTACGATCACCAACGACAAAGGTGAGTACGAAGTTGGTGTGTCACTGACCAAATTATGGGTTCAAAAGTATTGTACTTGTCCTAATAAAACCTTGATGCAGAGATCAAGCTACAAAGGAGTCAAACCCGGCCATGGTTTCAAACTCCTGTTTGATTCTTCAGTCAGATAATTGTCCAGATAAAATAAGTCAGTGTAAGAAATGGCAGGCTCATTCTTAAGACGTTTTCTTGTTGCCTCAGGTCGCCTGTCCAAGGAGGAGATTGAGAAGATGGTTTCCGACGCCGAGAAGTACAAGGCGGAAGACGACGCCCAGCGCGACCGCATCGCCGCCAAGAACGGCCTGGAAGGCTACGCCTACAACATGAAGTCCACTGTGGAAGACGAGAAACTCAAAGACAAGATCAGCGCGGAGGATAAACAGACCATCCTGGATAAATGCAAAGAGGTCCTGGACTGGCTGGACCACAACCAGGTACAAATGTCGCTCTCTTTTCTCTCTGTTTGACTCTGTGCTCACTAGTCTTCAGTAGAGAGATAGCTGGGTTGACACCAACAAGTTTTGGGGAATCATGTTGAAAATGCAGTGCAAAGAACTGTGCTACTTTGTATCCCTATTCATTTGCTCTCTTTTTTTTAATTTGTTCCACAGACGGCAGAAAAGGATGAGTTTGAGGATCGTCAGAAGGAACTGGAGGGGGTCTGCAATCCCATCGTCACCAAGCTGTACCAAGCTGCAGGCGGTGCCCCAGGGGGTATGCCTGGCGGTATGCCAGGGGGTATGCCCGGCGGTATGCCCGGCGGTATGCCAGGAGCTGGAGCAGCACCAGATGCCGGTGCAAGCAGCGGAGGACCAACCATCGAAGAGGTCGACTAAATTCCTTCCTACGATACTACGACCACACTACACTGAACCTCCGTGGACAAGAAAATGAGGCATGCAACTGTACACACTTTAAGACGTAGAAGCCTATAACTCGGGGGAAAGCGTGTTAATGAAATCTGGACCTCAACTTCAGCTTCAACTTCATGATTTTAGACTCAGAATGCTGTCCCTCAGGGCTGTTGTCATTGGGTTTGAACATATGGCAAGATTCTGTCTGGGATAGAGTCGAAGCTGAAATGAAACCTGTGTTTCATTACAACCCCTCAGAATTAGGGATGGATTTTGTCTTACTATATTCCAAACTTGCAGACAAAAAGATCACACTGCTGTAGAAATTGCAAGTGTATTTATTTAAAAGTTATTAAACTATTCACGTAATACGCCTCAAAAAAAAAATTAAAGGCGACAATAGTTTTAATATTTGTAAACCGAAGCCAAATTTCAATAATCAGCATAAATTACTAATCAGCATAAATACATCAGCAATTTCTAGAAGTTTTGGGGTAGTAAGAGGGTTTTTAAGGGTGGGGGGGGGGGGGGGGGGGTTGAAACGTATGGACACAAAGTGAAGTGGTCACATATCACTAAACTAACCTTTAGTATTGGGCTCAAGACTCCTGGAATTTGGATAAATTACACGAATCCCATAATTATTTGTATGTTATTAAACCATAAGTAGAATTAAAATAAATGTTATTTTTGTATCCAGGAATGGTGTAAGTTTCCCAGGACCAATAGAATTGCACTTCTATCGGGCATAATAATTATATAGGCCCTGATGAAGGTTAATTTTCTGTGTGAGGAAAACAAGTCTTGGATTTTGACTGGAAATGCTCCTGGCTGACTCGTAACCACATTTGTACTACAGGGTGAAAGCCAAGGTTCAGTATTTAAGCTCGTTCCAAATAGCTGTTTATGTATATTGCTTCGCTATAAAAGGAAAAATAATAGCCACAGAATGTCACATAACAATCCTGTTTGCACTAGCAATGTGCAAATGAAAGTGAAAATGTTCATTGTCGCTGTACAGACTACATAAACAAAGGCAGCCATGTTGGATAATACTGAGCAAATTCAGCTGGGACTGGCAACAACAACAGAACAAGTTTGGGGGCATTTGGCCAGTGCGTGTAACTGGTTTTTCCTAGGCAAAAGTGTTCTTAACTCGGGACTCGGGCACGTAATAGTGTGCAGTTGAATCATTTACGATAATTCTAACAAAGCCAAAACATGTTCTTTTGTGTGTGAAACATGGTTTATGTACGACCACTGTCAAATATCTTGTTTCTGCGGTTTTTTATGAAGAACACTTTAGGCAAACATGTGCAATGAATCTGACTTTGTCATGTTTTGTATTACATGAATGTGTATTTATTTAAAGTGTTAGGGTGTTCAGTTATATTAAGACTTGGGAAAACATGAGACCATGATTATATCTTGCTACATTTATCATAATGTTTGCGTCTTTCATGATTTTTGTTAAGTATTCTATTTCATATGGTGTCATTTCTTTGATGTTTTGTGTCAAATAAAAAAAGGGTTTTCTCCAAAAGATTCTCCAAAAAAGAATGATTTGTGTGCCTCGGGTGCAGTAGTGCAAAAGTGCTCAACCCCTTCAAATGAAGTAATACAGGTATATGAATAGCCCAAAATTAATCTGTCTGTTTTCGAATTTTTTTTCGGATCTTCGAAAAAAAAATTCAGATCTACGTTTCACCAAATATTCAATTATTTAAAACTCTATGATAAAGTTGTTCACATGCCAGCTGTAACTGTGTGCCGTTTCAAAAGTTGCATGCAAAGCGCGTCCGTTAAAATCGATATGGGCTGCTTGAGTGTTTTACATTCATTAAGAATTTTATACGAGACAAGGGCTTTAACCTGCTGGATAGGAAGAACGAACTGCCGTCCACAAAAAAAGGTGGTATCTGACGATAAACTTTACGATTAAACGAATATCATAGTTGAGTCTGCATGTACTTATTTTTTTTTCTTCAAATATTCAAACTGGCAAATAGCTATTAGAATCTTCAGTGGATGATCCAATATTTTAATATTCAGGACAGTCCTAGCCTGAGAAATTTCTTTAGGCTACTAAAGTAGTCTGCCCTTTTCAAAACATTACAAATAAATAATTTCATGCTCAGCCTGTGAATAATGATTTTTTTATTCAAAAACCAAGTTAATAGTCTCAGTTCTACATGCCTTGTAATCTAAGATACAAAGTGAAAATGGTAATCAATTTTGGGGGTTAGTACTGTGAAGTGCCAAATGCACTAAACCAGTTCCCAGTGGATATTAAGAGATTCGTTGTGACTTTCTACAAAAAAATAAGCAAAGAGTGAAGGTAAATCTGAAGTTTCATCTTCTCAATGTGAACGTTTACAGTTTTCCCTTTTCCAAGCAGAAGTACAACTTTGTTTTCTTGCAAATGATGAAATGTTCTATTTTATGCAACGTCTTGATAAATCCCCGTCATCTGATTGGTGGGTTGTTGATCACATGTCATTGAATTATTAGTCCCAATGCATGGCGCGGCAGCACCGCAAAAATAGAAGTTCCATTCCGCAGTAAATGGAACTTCTATTGCATGGTCACTCTATTGGTGGTGCTCTGATGGCTCTGTTGCTGTACATTCACAGTACCAGTTTGCAACTAACCAATCAGATGACGAGGATTTATTCAGGTGCTGTATAAAACAAAAAAATCAATGTTTCACATTAGTGCAATGGGAAGATTAATTTAATTGCACTCATAAACATGCATTATTTTTATACCAGAGTTCAAAACGACTGAAAAATAAAGTGATTCACAAGTCAAATCACAAGTACGGTCGCAAGTAACTGTAGATGAACAATGACAAAAGGAGTGCCTTTGCCTGGACGTGAAGTGACATTTAAAAAAAATGTTCTTTAAACCAAATATCCAAACCTGTGCATTTTGCAAGTTTTACTTTGTACATATTGCAAAAATACATACATGTACAGTTGTGTATGTACAAAAGTCCAACGGAGTTTACTGTTGTCATGGTTGTACAAAGGAAACACAAATTTGATCTGTCCTCAAAACCAATTTTTTAAAAATTAACTTTGGGAACCTTAATTTCAAGTGTTTTGTTTACACAAAAACTGATCACAGGCAATGCCATGATGATATTGTTTTCACATCGTTAAATAATACTGACACGAGTGCTTTTTAAAGAAATATTTCAGGGGCACAACTTTTTAACTTTAGTCTTTTTCTATCGAGTTATGTGTGAGAAAAAAATGACAACAAAGGAATTAAATATTTTATATACAATATGAAAAAGGGAACATTTTGAAAGAAAATATGAAATTATCCCCTAACACCTCTTGTGTTAAGACAGAAAATCTTACAAAAGTATTGCTTTGAATCAAAAAGCAAAATTTATATGCCATTATCAAGCTCGCATTTGCGACAAAAAAATTACATCTTAAGAGAGAAAGATATCTTTGATCGTAGTAGGCGTGTCTGGCGGTTTTTGCTTCCAAAAACCACTGGCGTGCCAAACCAAATTAAAAATATTTGGCAAAAAACATCCTCCGCCTTTCTGCACTTTACCAGCTTTACAGAATATACAATTTCAAAATAAATATTTACAGCAAATACGCCATATCTTATTTGTCATGGACGTCCAACAATTTTTTTTCTGATCATAACTTAATTAGATAATTTAAAAAAATATTTATATACTCTATTGTTCATGATTACGGCAAACAACTGGGGAATACTCGAAAAAAGTTTGATATGTAAAATTTGATTGAAAAATTGAAACATAAATTGAAAACTAAAATAGGAATTAATATTGTACTGAAGAGAGACTTTATCGAACAGAAAAATGGAAATAAAAATCTAAATAAGCCTGAATCCAAACTGAATTAACGTTCACTGTAGGCTTTTGAGTATACAAGTAAATGCAGTTGAAATCAATTCTTGTGCCCTGTTTATTAGGACATATATTCAGTCTTTCACATTAAGTAGCATTTTAATTTACTCCATAAATTATGTTTACATTTAGTCCTAAATTATTGGGCTTCAAAAAGCAAAAACAAAAAACATGAGTCAACTAAAAAGCAATCTTTGAAATGAAATGAAAATTGAAAAAAAAAAAAAAAATGCTCTACTTCAATATGTTATTAGTGTTTTCCTCGGCCAATGATTTTTAATTTATTATCATTATTATAATTTCTTTTTTAATCTGAATCATCAATACCTTTTATTTGTATACTTCTGATTAAACAAATTTGGGGAAGAACGGAAAGGCACATGATCATTCAATTTTAGTGTTCAACTATTTTTCCTGGTGAACAACGCTAGTTTAAATGGAAATCAGCCTTAGAAAAAATAATCAAAAGGGGAAAATCCCTTCACCTAAGTTTCAGAAAGTGCTTTTGTATCTCGATGAAAACCTCTTGAAATACTGGAGAAAGGCCTTATCATTTCATGAGTACAAAAATTGGCTGCTGGTTGCTATGGTTACTAAGGGGTTTACCGGGTCATGACCCCTTAGGGTTTCTGTGGTCAGTGAAACTGCACTCTATACGTGTTGATCTCCATTGGCTCGATCGTAAATTCCGAATCCACTTCCATCTCGTTGCTGTCGTAGAGTCCCGATAAAGAGGTGGCTTGTAGGCCTCTCAGGTTTAAGTTCTGGAAGAGATTTCGGACAGCAACCTGTAAAAAGGAGATAATTATTACATGTTAGTTTTGGAAAAATTCATAAATTTATGCCCTGGTTGGCAACAGATTTTGCCTAAAATTGCACATTAGCACCCTCGTTGTGTAAGAAGGAGGCTTTTTTATTAAGTCTTTGTTAGTGTTTGTCTGTTATTTCATATTTTCTACAATCCAACGATATGTCGGATTTTTGCTATGATGACCCTCCATAGCTTGCCAACCTGTGGTTGGCAAAAAGTGCCAACCAAGGGTTAGCAAAAAACGGTGTATACTTCTCTCACCTTGCCGCCATTTGTGGAGCAGGACAGCGCCAGTCCTGGATACCGACAATCAAACCCTGTCCGATGAAGCAGCAAGAACGCCTCCCGCTTGGCTTCCACTGCGTTATTGCTCTGCTGGACCCGTGTCCGTAGGTTCAGCAGGTGAACGTCGCAGGGGAAGGCCTCATCTAGCATCTGGTACTCGGGTAGCAGCTGGCCGCTGGGCTCCTGGCTCTCCGGTAAGGCCGTGTGGATGTAGAGAGGGTGGTCCAGGGTGTGAGAGGCAGCGTGGGCTAGGAGGGACGGGAACCCGGCTGGCTGGGGCGGGCTCTGTTGATTCATGGGTAAAATTGTCAAACAAACCGCAAAGCCAAACAGACTAGATATAAAACTTCCACCATACTGAAATTGATTGTTGTATTTGCTATATTAGATTTTAACTAGCAGAGAACCCTGGTAAGACCCTGGTAAGATCAGTGGACAAGTCATCTGCACTAATAAGCAGGAGGTTGTGGGTTCAATTCCAACTCAAGTAAGTTTGTGATTCTTTTCTTGCAAGCTCTCGGATGGCACTATCCATAAAGTGTTTTTAACCCATTAGCACCTGAACTACATTGTATAACATTGTATTACATTGTATTACATTGTATAACATTGTACCACATTATATTACATTGTGTTTATTCACTAAAGAATCAATCAAACCATAGAGTGCTCAAAAGCAAATATGCTGGCGAGGGGAAAAAAATAATAAAAAGGACTAAATCAGTACATTTGATAGATTGAAACAAATATAATTCAATAGTATGTTATTCTAGCTGTGGCTTTTGCACAGAATTTCTTTTTGTGACCAATACTGAACAAGTGTCAAAAGCATGTGCAATCATGGTCATTGTCTTTATTCAGCAATTCCAAGTCTGCGCCATTATAAGGGAAGTTGTCATAAGTGCCAGGGCTGAATCTCATCCCTCCAAACACATAAAAAGAAGGCAAAAAGGGAAAATAGAGGAAAACAATTAAAGAAGAAAAGTGCTTGAGTTAAGAGAGTGCTTTGAAGAGAAAGAACACGCAAGAAAAAATATGTATTTCTACCTGTTCCATAAAGTTATTAAAAAATGTTAATGTAGTTTTTGCTCTTTTCACCTGACTGACTGACTGACTGACTGACTGACTTCCACTTACCCTGGAAGTTGGCTTGTAAAGACAGCCTGGCAGTGCTATTGTACAGGATTACCCCATAATTCAGCTTATTGTGTACACCAGATGCATGAACAGACTAAACCAGAATGTTGCGTACTCTGGAACAAACTTACCTTGTCTTGTTTTTGACATAAGATTATTTTCTTCAAAAATACAAAAATGCACAACAGATAAACAAAAGTGTGAGGCAGCATTATTCCTGCACCGCATGTGAAGTGTTACAGCTGTTAGCGTTGTCCTCACCATGCACCAAATCATCACAGCAAGCCAGCAGATTTGTGCTTTCTTCTCACACTCTGGCAGAAGGAAATAAACGCTACCTCACCTTTCGTTCACCCTTAAGCCATCCCAAGAGGGTGTGGGACTTTTGCCTGACCTGCTTAGCGGCCGTAGCTGCGGCGGTGGCGTCTGTTCTCTCCAGGAGGATTTGATAGGACAGTGATGTGACCTTGTTGTCCAGGACACCCTGTTGGAGACCGCGGCTGTCATCTTGGTTTAACCGCCGGTCCAGTACCACCTCGAACCAGCCTGTTGACGAGAGACCACAGACCAATGAAAATGATAGGACAAACGTCAAGGGCTGTGTCCTAGGGCGAGTGTGGCCAAGTGGTTGGGATTCGTGACTCCTAATCAGAGGGTCAGGGATTCAAATCCGGCTGCTGGCCATATCTTGCGTCCTTGGGCAAGTCACTTTACCCCCACTTGCCTCTCTCCACCCAGGAGTATAAATGGGTACCGACATTAGCTGGGGAGTAACCTGCGATGGACTGGCATCCCATCCAGGGGAATAGAAATATTCTCAGTCGTTTCATGCCATCGAAACTTGACATAAATTCTGTTATGATGGGCCATATTGGCTTGTGACAGAGCTGTACTCAGTCCAAATTTGTGGCTACTAGTGGGATGCCGGGCGCGACGTGGCATCCCGCTAGCTGGGTGTCTTACAAATGATCAGTGTGCCCTCAATTGACCTATTTTTGAGTCAGTTACAAAACACATATTCAAATCGTACAAATTCGTCTGATCAATGGTTAAAGGGTATTTGCCACATTTTTCGTCATGAACGTTATGTTTTGCTTAACAGCTATACGTTTTGGAGTGTCTTCATAGAGATAATGTTGTAATATTTAACTATTCAAAGTTTGAAAGATAAATCATCCAAATTTGCTTAAAACAGCCCGTAGCAGCGTCAACAGTTACAACCAAACTACACCTGACATTTTGACTAGATAAGATTCATGCTTAGTATACCCACTTAGCAGTTTGAAGACTAGCCAGTTAAGTCTTCCAGTACATAAATTTACATAAAGCAGCACTCAGCACTTTCAACGGTTACCTACCAAACACCACCCAACAAAACTAATGACATTTATCGGCACAGATTACAGAGTGAAGATTCCCGCTTAGCAGAATCGCTTACCTGTTTGGAGACAAGCCACTCCTGATGGATGATTGGTTAGCAGTGTGAGTCTGGTGTCGCTGGACTCTAAGAACGCCATGTTGGGCATGGGGTAATAGTTGGCCTGGATGGGCAGTTTGTCTAACGTCTTGCGTTGCTGAAGCTAAAAAAAATGTTATAAAAACAAGTGAAAAAATGCGTTATTTGCTGATTCATGTCGATGGACTACTTTGTGGGGAAATTATGGTTCACTGGCTATAACATAGGACACTGTCGTGGGAAATAGGGAGGGCAGCATTTAATAACAAACATTATTATTTGCATCACCACCTAAAGAGTGGTGCAACATTCCTTAGCATTGCTTTAACATTACTTTTGGATAATAAACAGTAAAATTATGTTTTCAAAAGAGAATTTTTGGAGAAAACAAAATTGTGTTTTGTGAGTTATGAGTCATGAGTGTCAAGTCCGAGTTGCAATGGTCGAGTCCGAGTCTTTTGCCAATGTGACTGGAGTCGAGTCCTGATAAACTGCATTGCACAGAGGGTCATCACAGAGGACTGGTCCAAATTCCTCTGTATTACACATGAGCAGACACCTTATTTGATTGTCACTGAGTTTAAGTAACAAGTTTTGTCTCATCTTTTTAGGGAATTTCCTGATTCTCCTCAGGACTTTTAGTACCTGGAATCCATTGAGATCTGTGTAGTATATTCGGTCAGGATTCTCCACGCTGGATTTTAATCTCATGATCAGCTCCTGGTTGCGAACGCTCCGGATGTCCACGACATTCCTTATGTCCAATATTCTAGAATCCACACCTAGAAATACAAAAAGGATCCAACACTTTTGAGTGGACTGCTCAAGATAAGCCAGTGAATCCATAATATAACTGGACAATGAGGCTATGGCTGGCAATAACACACAAGTCTATGGGAAGTAGCCGCAGCCGCTAGCCTGTGGCTTTCATAAGTGCATGTGTTATGTCTGGCTGTAGCCTAGCTCACACTAACCAGCACACTCTAAATGTCACACATTTAAACAAATGAAATGGAACATACAAATTCTCAACAAGTAAATACAACATAGAATAATTTCTTGTGGCTCAGAGCAAGCAGTCAACTTAGACTGGAGACCTCACCTCCTAACACATGTGTACATAAGGACAGGCAACAGCCTCAGTGCTTCTGAAATCTTATTGGTTGCTATGCATCTTGACAATGCCACCTTTCCTGCAGTCTGATTGGCCTACTTCTTGAGCGCACTTGAGTATCATTTTGCAATGCATTAACCTGTTTGTATGGACATCAATATGTAAATTAAGTTGACCCCTATGTCACATGTCAATTGGCCAACAACCCACTGGCTGGTCTCAGATTATAAATCTTGAGGTAAGAGATTTTGAGGCTGTGTTGTGACTACAGTCAACTCACCTGCACTTTCTTTGATGGTGACTCTATGGTTGACCATGTTGAATGACACGTAGATCTCTGATAGCAACGGACCGCGGACAACTCGGACAAGTGGATTATTCAGGTTGATTGGCTGAAAATAAATCAGAAAATCAATTTTGTTAAAAGTGTTTTAATTAGCCACTATCTGTGATAATAAAAAAAATCAAAACAAGTTAACTAGCTTGTTCTACTCAACTGTTCTTTTTGAAAGGAAAAAAACCCTCAAAATTTATTTTCATATTATTCAGCTTTACGGGAAAATATAAAAAAATATCACAGCGAACAGTAGCTTCCAAACTAGACAAAACTGTGGCCCAGTACCCCCACCTACACAGAATATAATCTCAGATTTACATCTGACTTTTATTTTGGAATTTTCACACCGCTTCAAATAACATTCCATTGCAAAAAAAACATCAAGGAGTCGCAGAATGAAATATGTGACATTTATTTGCTTGTCTGCTCTGGACTTACAGTGTACCAATAAAGACTCTTGCTGAGGACCAGCCACAAGCACCATACAACACATAACACTTTAGCCGGTAACCCGTCTTACTAAGCAAATTTGTTTTGTACTTAGCAAGTTTCTGATGTACCTTAGCTGGGCCATCTGGTAGGAATAGGTAGGCTCCACTCTTAGCCTTCTGGGAAACCGTTCCGTACAACATGAACAACAGCTCAATATCCGTCTTCTTGCCATCAGCTTTGGTGGTCAAAGACTGGAGGGAGTTAAAGAAAAATGCAAGAACAAAATGTTGACTGCCACAATACAATAGTCAAAACTGAAAAAAGAAATTGAAATGATTTCAGTTATGATTTTCATTACCACTGTGGAAAAAGTGTTAAAGACGATGCCTCAAAATGGCTCTCGCTGAAGAAAAGTACAAAACTTGGACTTGGCAAAGGAATTCCCACTAAAAGTAAAAATAAGAGAGTAATTTTGCATCGTTTCTGTTGTGTCTATAGTATTTTCTCTTGCAAAAATGGACCAAATACTACAGAAGGTGCACATTCATTGAGTCCTTTATCATCAGTCCAAATACAAGTAAATGAGGACAATCTATGCCCTACTATCTTTTCAAATTGCACTATTTTCTATACAATAACTCCACCGTCTCTGATAGTCCATGATAGCCCAATTTGCAAGCACACACATAATGAAATACAGATTATTACTACAGAAATTGCAGTTTTGTATGTTTCCCATACAGACCTTCAGCATTCCTGTGGATCCAGTGAACACTGCCTTGAGGTTGGAGTTTTCAATGCTGATGTCTTCCGACGGGTAGTTTGCAAATTTCTCAACCACAAATGGCCCCCTGAATAAAAGAGAGTCAACTATTTACTAGAGTATTTACAACGATTTGGTTACTAAAAATTCAAATACAAAAAAATTCACCAAGAGAGCTGTAGCCACAGCCCAATCCACCCACCTCTTCTCTGTGCCACTGCCAGGCACATGGTACATAGCCACTGTGGACAAGCCATGTTGCTCTGACTCTGATGAACCCATGTCCTTGATGAGATATTTCTTGATGCCCAGCGGCGCTATGTCAACAGCAAACACAAGCTGTGGGAGAGGAGAAACATACAAAATCATAAAACAGCTACCTCTGCCCTCACAGGTACCCATTTACTGCTGGGTTGGGACAAGCAATAGGTTGTACAGTGTCTAACCCAATGACACAGGCATCGCACAGAAAATAGAAACTGAAGAAAAAGAAATCTATTTTTCGAGATGAATCTTGAAAATAGCAGGAGGAACGCATCTTTAAAGTGAAATGTTACAGAGATGTGGTGTACTAACTGAGAAACTGCTTACAGGAATGCACAGTGACTATCGTGGAACACAACACTGTGTAAAGTTTTTATTTCAGATGAGCAAGTCCTTCATGAGTTATCAGAATAACTGTTGGACACATAACTATATCTACGCAATAGTCATGGGCTTACAATATGGAAGGGCAATCTCACCTCATATTTGGTGCTTGCTGTCTGCATGTCATCCGTCCACACAAGGTTAGACTGGCTGGGAATAACTTTCTTCTCTCCGTCCGTCACCTGGACGTTGGGTGAGGATACGTAGAGTCGTACCAACTCATTCCTTTGCTGGGCCAGTGTGTTGTAAAAGACCGCAATACTGTGAATAAAGAGGACAATAATAAGATTAATCTTATTGTTAATCAGTTAATCTTCTGAGGTTTTTTTCTTGCAACCTGTCTTATTCTACCAAAATCCAACAGTGCGTGGTAATCTAATAAGTACTTTTTGGAGAACATGAAAAAAAAAGAATTGGTTTTACTAAAATTGTTCTTTTACCTTGATGCCTCTGTGGACAGTTTTAAAACCTTCTTTTCTGGTAAAATGTCATGTTTGGAGCTTTCTTCATCCTGGTGGAAAAAAATAAAAGGGGTATAATTTTTTTACTACAAAACAAAACAAATTTTCAGAGATTTGATACAGACAACTAGTGACATTAGCAGTATGTATCACACGACTACCAAAACATGTCCAAAGATTATCAAATGATTTTTATATTTAAAATTATGAAAACAACTTTTTTCTTTACTTTCATCTTCGAGGTCGATTTCTTGCATATAAGTTAGTCATCCGTGCTTCATTGTTTACACATATTGTAATAAATAAAATAGCTCTTAGAAAAATGACCACCTAAAATTATATATACGCCCACAAAAAAGGTCACATAAAAATGCATACCGTGTGCATTGTCTACAATACAGATGTCAACTTTTCCATTTAATCACAAAAGAAGAAAATTGAATTTAAAATGCTTTGTGAAAAAGGCTAAGTACTTATTTTCATCATGCTGTTTTGACAACATGCTAAGTGGACAACTGTTTTTGTGGACATTACAAATTTCTGGTAATGTCTACAGACACAGATGTCATTTTTTCCCCCCATGAAGCACAATAGGAAATGCAGGATTGACACTATCAACAAAACAGTTGCATACTTACTACATCAAAGAATGCAGTGTAGGGTGCGTACTTTGTCTGGTCAGGTGACAACAGGAAGTGAATGGACTTCATCATGATCTTACGCATATCATTCACAGATGTTAATAATCTGGGGAAAAACAGAAGTATACAATCACTGAAAGACTCAATTTTCGAATTTCATTAACTTCCCTTTTTCTAAAATATGGCATTGGAAAAAGTATGAATTTCAGTACTGGAAAAACATAATTTATTTTTTTTTCAGAAAATTCTCCACTAGTAATGAGAAAGTGTAGAGCAGTTCATGCAAAAGCTATTCTAAATAAGTTGATGCAAAATTCATGGAAAATGCATAAATGTTTGTAGAAATTAGCAACTGAAAGTAAACATGATAAGTAATCAGTAAAGTATTTTTTATTGTTAACATTACTTTTTTTCATAATTTTTTGAAATTCAAAGATTGGTGAAATTTAAGGGGTTTTATTTGAGGGGATGTGTTTTTCAAATTTGTCTGCCATTTGCAAAATCACAAAATTCTCCGAAAGCCTTGGATTATAAAAGATGTCCATGATCTTCAATGAATTCCACATCTATTACTTTTCACACCTATATTGTCAACATGAAGAAGAAATAAATGAAAATGAACAAAAAAAAATATTGGAAAAAGGGGTCTTTTATCAGGAGGTTGATTTGTTTGTTTGATGTCTCACTCAAATGTAAATAAATTTTGTATTGCTAGAAATAACAGCAATTCATGGGAAAAATAACCTTGACAAAAAGCATATGACATCCTTAAAGCCAAAACTTACTTTGTCCCATAATCCACCACCACGTGATCCTTTGCGGTTCCTGTGATGGCGTCATGGTGCTGAAACAAACCCAAGTTTCTCCTTGCTGTCGTCAGCATTTTAATCATGGAGTCTTCGTCAAACTTCTGGCCGGTCCCAACTTGCCTGGCTTTCGTTGCAGCCACAGTGTAGATTATTTCAGCCCCTCTGATTTGAACAAAACACAGAAAATCAGCAACCAAGGAAAAATCATGAATGCAATTGGCTGATGGCACTGAGCTATCAGTCGATCACGCAGCGCTATTGGTCAATAAGTGCAGCCATCGTTAGACCACTCTGCCATTGGTTAATCGTCCTTTCTTTTTAATACACAACTCTACGGGTATGTTGTGGAAAAAGTGCAGTAAAATCTGGGATTTTGCTACAGGATCTACACACTGCGCAGATGTTTTTCTGCGCGAAGGAATGATGGGTCAAATCCACTGATCGATGGGAGGGGTTTACATCAAATTCTAAAAATGGTGCATTGCCAACACACTTACCTTAAGTGTGATTCCAGTATTCTGTCCATGTTTTTATAGAAGGGTCTGGATGTATAGTATCCTGACCAGTAATCCTTCTCTCGGTCGGTGTACGTGAAGAAGTCACCACTCAACACAGGGAAGCCCTGGGGCTGGGTACCAGTCGGTCCCTTGGTGTGCTCAATGATGGTGTTGAAGTAGTCAGACAGGGTGCCAAACTGAGCCTGTGGGATAAAATTGGCCGAGTAACAGTGTAAATCCTATAGTTGCTTTTGTTCCATGGGAGAGTGATATGATATTCTTCTTGCTTATTTTGTTCTCTCTGATGTTCTTTGGAAAAGGTTTTGCACCAAATTTACATACAATATATTGGATAGATATCCGAGTACGTGATGATGTTACACCCCAACTTGGTCGTCGGTCCCAACATTTGTTTGGCCTGTTCCAGTTTGGGCCAAACTAGACTGTTCAAGTTGGGCAGGCCTAACTTGGCTCGGGATACTGCAACTGACAAGTACGTATATACAAAAGAGGTTGCTGCCTATGTTGGGCCTGGCCAACTTAATTGCCCAAGCTGGGACAGGCCCAACATATGTTAGGACCGACCACCACATTGGGGAGTAGCAATACCCGGTCGCAATGCCAGGTACCTGGTTCCATTTCCCTGGGTTCGAGTCCTGCCCGAGTGGTTTGAGATTTTTTCCCGCAGTCAGTCGGGACAACACTGAGTATACAGTGTTTATAAAATACGTTGGTGAAGACGCAAATTCCCTCTCATGAATAGGTCTGATTTAAGGTTTAAAGAAAGTGTCATTTGATAATCAAATTTTCAGACTTTTCTTTGAAGTATACAAACTGACTACGACCGCTCCAACTCACCTGTACGTGCCAGCCGGGCTGGGAGTTCATGTAGTCAAAGAGTTTCTGGTAGTTGGTGTACTGCTGATCCCACTCTGCTGCCTTGTCGTAACGGAAATCATCCCCCAACGGAACCAAGAGGATGTTGGTTCTGTACAAGGTGCTCTTCTTACGATACTGGTCCAGGAGAATCTCAGCCCTGTCATAAACACAATATCACATCATATTCAAACAGGCCAGCCAACTCTGGCAAGCTCAGAAGTTATGAATTTCTTTTCCTTGTAAGTTCTCCAACAGCACTGAGTACACGGTGCTTTTAAATTTAAGCAGCTGAAGGCAAAAGGCAATACTATAATTGACATCTCTCTTATGCAAAATAAATCACATGGGGAAATTGTGTACAGCAAGTAGCTGCGTTTGTTATACATGTACTGTCACATTGCATTAAGATCTCGCCACTGGAATTCTACTCTATTAGATTTCGAAGGAAATTCTACGATCATGCACAATCATTCAAAGTACCCAAGTACCCCTTCAATGGTAAGAAAGGGAGAGGTCAGGAAGACAACTGGGAGAGATATTCGAACGCATTCCTGATGATGCCTGATGCTTATGCGAAGATGATATGGCTTTGTCCACATTAAGAATATAATAAGTCATGCGTACTTCGGGCTATACGCGCGCGAAGCAGTATGCGCACGTGTCCTGTCCACTAGAGTCTCAAAAGAGGTCACAAAGCGCCCCCTCTTGTTTGTGAAAAGATCCCATAGGCAAGGTAGTTTGAGGCAGTACAGTGACTAATGAGTTTATGTAGTTCTATTGGGTTAATGCAACCCAGGATCTTACTTATTGGCTACGTTCATGTCGTTGATGGGAACCGGTGGCACTTTCCATGGGCAGGCAATCCGTCCGCCGGGTAGTCTCTTGAAGTCAAACTGGCAGCAGATCTTGGGGTCTGGTCCGCAGGTGTGCGGAACGTCATAGCTATAGAACGGCATCATGTGGCAGAACATGTCTGTGCTGGAACCGTGATCTGTGGATTGGAAACCAGACTTTTACTTTCAATGTCACCTGACTGTTAAACAGGACATGTGACTGGTCGGTCAAAACCAGACAGTTGGGATCGTCCCAACTGTAGATGGGACAATGACATAGTTGGGGCATAACACAGCTGCTAAGAAGAAAGAAATGCTTCTCAAATTAATGGTACTGACTACCAGTCACACGCAATATAGATCACATGACAAGTTAACTGGTAACCACTAACTGCTAAGCTAATATTTTCAAAGCTTAGCAAATTTCTGAGAGATGTGGTCCTCCCTGCTTACCCCAATTCTGTCTCCAGAGAAACTCCAATTTCTTCTCCTTGGACAGGTATTTCTTGATGGCGTAGTGGGTGCGCTGGATCAGCATGGCCTCAAAGCCCATGCGTTGGAGCAAGTAGGCCATGGTAGGGGTCATTCCGAAAGGGTCGATGGCCCAACCTGCTTTGGGCTTTACTCCTATTATCATCAAATGCATTTTGGAGATAAAAAAAACTTTTACTGATCCCACAATTAATAACAAGAAAACAAACCAACAGAAATAAAAATGCCCTTCCCTGAGAAAAGACCTTATGCCTGAGGGTGGAGTTAGATGGCAACGATTTTGTATTGGTAAGATAGGCATGACTGAACCTTCTGTGTACTCATTGTTAAAAACAAATGAAAATAAAAACAAAGAATACCTCTGGGACATTTGTAATTGGTCAATTAAAAGCTTAAACAAATTAGCAATTATTGTCAATAATATCTGAAATCGTTCATCAGTAATTGATTGTTTAAAAATAAATTTAAGAAAGCTTCCCAAACTTTCCATTTATCTTTTACAATTTCTAAAATCATGCCTTATACATGTTGATTATCATTTCAGACCACAAACACTTGAAATTGTCTGAAATTGGGTCTGAAATAACAAGTTCGGAATTCATGCCTCATAACTTGAACATTTGGAAAAGAGTTAAGTTGTTCAAAAACGTTTGTCTGAAATTGCCCTTATATTACTCACCTAAGAATGCTTCTATCCACTCATGGCCTTCTATGAGCTGATCTGCCATGGCAAAGTAATGGGAGTTGGCTTCATCATTCATGACCCAGCCACCTGTCACTATCTCAAACCGGCCTTCCTCTAATAACCTGAAATAGGATTGGTTGATTGCTGGTCAGATTAACAATATCCACCAATCAGGGTTTTTGTTTGTAAATACAACCAACCCTTCTAAAAAAAACCTGAATGTGATTGGTTAATTGCTGGTCAGATTAACAATATCCACCAATCAGGGTTTTTGTTTGTAAATACAACCAACCCTTCTAAAAAAACCCTGAATATGATTGGTTAATTGCTGGTCAGATTAACAATATCGACCAATCAGAGTTGAATGTACTTAAACTGCACAACTTATCAGCAATCCTCAAATAACCTGCAATATGATTGGTGGATTGCTGATCAGATTAACAATATCCACAAATAAATTATGTTCCACAACTTTGTTGGGCTTAATTGTTAAATTCAATTTCGAATATGCACCAATAGATTTCATTTTTAGTGCACTATAATTCACTAGTTTAATATTCTAATTCATTGCAGTTCTGGCAAATTTATCTCTTTTGGAGATTGCTGTTATGTTAAAAAAAAAAAAATTCATTTTTCAAAAGTGCGCATTTTTCCTTCCCACCTTTTTGTGATATCTTGACTCTGTTTACTGGTTTGTTCCCACCACATTGAGAAGTAGGAAATCTCTGCCCAGATGAATCTCATTTTGGGATATTCCTGCATCTTGACCACCATGTTGTTCAGGATGTGAACTGTCTGGTCCTTGAAATATTTGTCCACGGTCTTTATCCATCCTGAAAATTGTCAAAAACATCAACAGATTATTCTTTGACACCCAACGTTTTTGAATAAAAGTGCCGCAGCCTCATGGTCTGGAGCATGGAACTTATGGTCTGTTGGTATTTCTGCAGGTTGTGGGTTCGAGTCCAGCCTGGGGTTGTGGTGCGTGTGCCCTTGGGCAAGGCACTATGTCACTCATTGCTTCTCCCCACCTAGGAGTAAACGGGTACCTGTGAGGGCAGATATGGTATATTGTGATTGATTTCAGCTGCTTTGTGCCGAAATGGCAGCATCTAGCTGTGTACTCCCCCGTCAGCTGAGATTGTCTTTGGAATGCTTCATAGGCCCAATGAGCAGGGTAATAATGATGTAGGGCCTTGAGCACTAATACTGGTGGATATATCCGATTACAGTCAATTCACAAGTCCAGACACAGGCAACTAGTGATGAACAACAACAAAGGAATGCTTTTGTAACAATTAATTTGAAAAGCTTGTGACTTGACTTGGGACTGGAGGGCTTGAAATTAATTTGTGATGGACTTGTGAGGACTTGCGATCCATCACATGTACATCGACTTCAACACTTTGTTTGGTTCGAAACATTTTTCTTTTCTTTTTTCCCTGGCAATCTTACCTGGATCGTTGTGGGAATGCGGCACCACAAACACTTTGAGCGGATCGTCGTTCCACTGGTTTGGGTTGTATTTGATGTCATAGCCTTGCTTCCATACTCCGCCGTCGGGATTGTCAAACGGAAGAGTGTTGTACACATCCAACATCTAGTTGACAACAAGAAAAACAGTTGAAACTTTATTTTGATGGCATTAGGGCTTGAGCACACAGTGTTTCTATAAATTTGTGTAAATTGGTGCAAAAGTGCAAATCCCAAGTACATTGTGCTTCGCTTACCTGGACGTCAACGTTGTTCCCATTTGGCACCGCGCCAAAGGCGCACTCCTCGTTTCCAACCTCGGCTCGCGCAACAGTAAACGGCGGTAGAGGTTTCCAACTCTGCATCGGCAACTTGGAATCCACCTGCACGGGTTGGTGGACATTGAGGTCAATATTCTTAGGGGCGGTCCCGTCTTTTTGATGGGCGGGCACAACAGGGTGGGGGTCAAGTTGGGGCAGCTTGAAGGATAGGTCACCGTTGGCGAGTGACTTGACCGCGTTCCTGAGCTGGTTGATGGTCTCGTGGTTGTTAACGAGGTCGTTTTCTAAGGCACTTATTTTCTGATGAAGCTCGTCTATCTCGCCCTGTGAATATTGTTGCCCGGAAACAAATCGTTAAAACCTAGCAGAGTCTGCCTTTAAGTAATTATTCCCATTGTACTGAAATGTCAGGTGACAATTTTTTAGCATTTCTTCTTACAATGAATTTCCCCCGCTGAAATATATCTTGATTCCCGCTAGACTTTGCACACAAATTACGAAAGAAATGTTTGATTACAACATTCTTTCCTTTGACAGAGTTGGAGCTGTCTTTACAATTTCTCAAACGTCATCATACAGAATTTAAGTCATCACAAGTCAATCTTAAGAAGACACAAGTCTATCACAAGAAATCAGAAGCCAATCACAAGTAAAAAAAACAAGACATCTGAAGCAAATCACAAGTCAATCACAAAACCAAAGTCAATCACGAGTCAATCACAAGACATCATAAGTCAATCACAAGCCAACTGCAATACATCAGAAGCCAATCACAAGTCAATTTCAAGTCAGCCCGACTCAAAGTAAAATTTCAGGCTATTGTAATGAATTGTGATAAAGGCATTCCTTTGTCAGGCATCATTCCAACTTGTTTCCACATTTGTGATTCAGTCGATGACAACTCTATTCTTTAGCTTAGTTAATAAACCTCTTGATACTCAACAATCAATAGGCTTAATACTCACAGGAGAAAACTGCTGTACTTTGAGCAGTGTATCATGGGGTCCCCGCGGGTCAGGAAATGATCGTGTCTGGTCCAGCATCAAGTACATGGAGACGATAACAACAAAGAAGATGGCTGCACCCATCAAAGCCATGTAGGTCTTCATCTTGCTAGTTTCTTGGAGAGGCTGGACCTCTGCAACAGATATATACAATTGATGTTAAATTGTAATCAAAACTTGATAGGGTATCACAAATTGAAATAAAAAAACAATCACAAGTCAACAAACATCCGACTGTGCAAGTTCTGAGCTGCAAGATAGCCTGATTGTGAAGTTGTTGCTCTGTCTCTGCTCTGCCCGAATTGACTGATACTTGCGTGAACGATGGATCAAGCGTATATCTGTTTGTGTAGATTCATTGATCACGTCTGACAAGTGCAGTGCATTTTGGAATAGTTTAGTATCCGATATTTGAACTTTTGATTGATTGAATATCAATTGATTGAATATCAACTGATATCATATTTCAAACATTAATATTTGAGCCTGACAGTAGGTAAACAAAAAATGAATAACACATCGGTATATTTTTTGGGGCTACATATGTAACTGACTAGCTGATATTTGAAAGACTATAAAGATGCAAAACAGGGCTAATTCTCCTCATGGAAACTCCTATTCTCAATGTGTATAAAGTGACTGTTCACAAATACAGGTACATACATGTACAAGTACATGTACATGTATGTGGAATTTGACAAACAGAAAAACCACCCAATACAAATCAAATTACACAGTTTTCGTCATCTTCTTGAGACCACTCACATTTTTGTAAATATTTGAATATTTTAGTGGACGATAGAATTTGTTATTCTTCCATGACAATGATCAAATATTTGGATATTCAGTATGCGCGGTAGGTCCTATTTCTTTGACATATTTGGCACAGTCCTGCACCGAACAAATCAATTTATCAAATGCAAATTTTAATTTTAAAGCAATTTTTATAAAACTTAGTTTTACGCTAAGGCCTATTTTATAAACTGATAAAGTTTGGGGAAAATCAGAAAATGTTAAAAAGTGTGTTGGATCATGGTTGAATTTGATATTGAATGTTTTGAAACCCTACTCAAACTAGAAACCCAGTCCCAGCTAGCTATAGCTACCCCTCATCTAAATGTTGCCAGACTAAAACCACAACACAACGAAATGGATAGCACCGTCTTGTTCCCTGCCCCATTAAGGTTTACATGTATGCCAACGTCATCACAAACCAGCGAACACGGTGTGGAGCTGGAGATGAGCCGAGGTCAAAAAGTCACTCCCCTACATGTGTGAATCTTGGCATGATTGTGTCAAGTACATAACAGAAAGGGTGAGATAATGCTCTAAATTTTGATCCGTAAAAAGTAAAATATAAAGCTTCTTACCTGATCATACAAGTAAAAATTTTAGTCACCGGATCACACAGCGTTCCTCACAAGTGCAATGCATACAGTCATTTTTGGGGTCACGAGCCGAGGTCAATGTTGTTTAGTCTAGTGCTCCGCCGCATCAACCGGCTATCGAACTATGTAATAGTGAGGTTGGAGCCAGACTACATGTAAATTGGTGGGTGTTGACTTCGCAGATTTTTCGCTCATCGCAAAACGGAATGCATCATGCAATCTGCACAGACATCCGAGTAAAAATTGTTTGTACATTGAACTGTCAAATAAAGATCGACTCTCAATAACAGTAATATGTGACTCGGGAATGTTCTTGTTTTTTAGGATTGTGCTGCAATAATGGACACTTTTCTGAGAGAGACGAAGGACCGCCTGGTAAGTCATTTCCTCCTGTTCTGACGTTCAGCTGCTGGAATCTGATGTTTTGTAACTTGAAGTTGAACTTGTGTGCTTTGCTGAAAATTATGTCATGACTGATTAATTCTAAAAAAATGAATACAGAAAGGGGAAGACAGGGTGTGCGCATTCAAACCGGGCATGCCTGGAACTTTTAAATAACATGACCAACATGTAATACTAATAGTAAATATATAATAACATGACTATCTAATTAGCATTTTCAATTTCACCATAATTTACGTGCCATAAACTTTGACTTTCTGGATTCTCAGAATTAACAGTAGGCCTACACAGTGAGAGAGTAGGCTAACTTATACTTGCGGTGATCGTGTAGTAACACTAACACAGGCCCGGTTCCATATAAGAGAACAAAATCCGATTTTAATTTATTTGAATTACTTGACTTACAATGACTTTAGGCCTAGTCCAAGTAACTTGGACCCAACTTATCGCCTTTTTAACATTCGGACATGGTAACATGGGAATTTTGTGCAGCATTTTTTGTATTTTTTGTCTGATGAGGGCGCTTTATTCTAGTTTTTTATGTAGAGTGTATGTAACTACACACATACCAGTCCAATTTTTTGGGTCCCATATGTTGCCCCAAATGTCATGTTCTGGTGATAGAGTATCGCCAGACCATGTCCGAATTTTAAAAAGACGATAAGTTGGGTCCAAGTTACTCGGACTAGAATGACTTACCAAACTAGTTAGTCACATAAAAAAACATGCAAATGTCATACCTACTCCATGACTAGTGCCAAGAAACTGTTCAAAATTAATAAAAAGGTGAAATTTATAATGTCTGTTGTGTCCGTCTGATTTATATGTCTCATTATTTCACTCAGTATTTCTTTTAGTTATTATTTAAACGCATCTCTATACAAGCTTTGGCTTACAGAATATGCCTCTATGTATGCGCTGGCAATTGTATATTTCCTTATACTTACATGTATTGCTATTTCTTGTATATTTTCAATTGTCCTGTGCAGAATGGAAATAAATGTGAACTGAACTGACTGAGTCATTTAACATGTTATAAACCTTTCTGTTATGTGTGCTTGTAATAGGAATCAGCACGAGCCGATGCACCACTGAATATTCATGTTGTCCTTGGCAACGAGTCTTGTGATTTGGATTCCGCAGTTTCTGCACTAGTTTGGGCCTACCACTTACAAAAGGTACCAGTAGTGCATACCATATATTTGCTAGCCACTAACCCTGCTGAACAAACATATTATCTTGATATTATTATTAACATTGAACAATATTAAAAATTATTATGCCTCTTGTTTTAGCAGTTGGATTCAGTTGGATTTTTTTTTTTTATAAATAATTTATTTGTATAAATTTAAGCTAAAATGCAGTATTCGAATTCCATGTTTTTTTTACTATACACATAATGTACAACTTCTATAATGGTTAGTTGTTGCTATACACATGTTGAAAAACAAACATGAATCCGGAACAGAAACATTTCCAATTCTGTTAAAAAGTACTCAAAAACTTTTCACGACTCCCACAAAATAAACACAGGATACTACATACATGTTCATTCTTTTTGTATATAGGGAAGCATGAGATATGTATGTTATTTGCTGATAATTCTGCATGGCCCTGTCTTTGACTTCCTTCCTGTATGAACCTTGACCTAGGAACAGGAAGTGCCAGGCACCAAGTGGGATGCCGTCGTGCCGGTGCTGAACATTCCCTTTGAGGACTACCACCTCCGCACGGAGGTCAAGCACTTCCTGAGCTTGGTCAACAACATCGGCGCTTCCTTGTTAGTCTTTCGGGACGACGTTGACCTGCATTCCCAACATGCCTCGGGAAAGCTAGGCCTGACCCTGGTGGATCACAACACTCTTCCCAAACGGGATGCCTCACTGGACGGAGCCGTCCAGGAAGTCATCGATCACCATAGCAACAGTCGTCAAGACGACGACGAACGGGACATCCGGGTGACGGTGGAGACGGTGGGTTCTTGTGCCTCATTGGTGGCAGAGAAGGTTCTGGCCCAGAATCCGGAGATTGTGGATGAACACATTGCCAAACTTTTGCTGGGTGAGTATTATGATTATTATTATTTTAATTTCAACGAGATAAGAGGTGTTGACTCTTACTTGAGTCAAGCTGCGTCCAGCAGCCTCAGATAGCGTGCGTCTTTCATAGGATCCTGGCTGTTCCTATAAGAGCTGCCTGAGTCATTCCAATCTCATTGACATGTATCTCCAGGGACCTGGGAATAGTACCCAGAGCCTCCACTACAACCGGAATCAACCTCCGGAGTTCCTAGCCAAGTCCTGACACTGCGACAGCTTTTCCTTTTCTTTATTATTGTTATACTAATTGACAGACTGCATTCTTCAGTTGGTAGAGTGCAAGTAAAGCACTCCAGAGGTTGCAGGTTCACACCCTTCACTAGTTAATTTCGTTATTCAATATCAGTAAAAATTGATCCTGTATGTATTCTGTTTCCCTGCTGTTGTTTTCACTCAGGCCATAAAATATGCTTGCTTTTTTTCATTTGCATCAAGTACATGTCTTAAGGGAAGATTTTGTATTCCAAGCTTATTGAATATTGTCTCATTAATCTGTATGGTATACTGTATCTTCCACATGGATTATTCTGCAAAGTAACACAGAAATTAGATTCTGTAATGTGAGTCACAAAATAGCCCTGAGATTTAATGCTAGATTAGTTGTGTTGCTGGCCCAAGCTAAGTGAAATTGTAGTAACTCTCTCTATATGGTCTGTGATTGTTTTCACTGAATTGTACAGTCCACTTGAACAAGCTGTATGGTTGATTTCACAATCACGGCTGATTAGCTGCGATTTGAAAGAAACTTTCATCTCAATGTTGAATAAACAAATTCCAGTCATTCAGTTAGGTGAATAGTTGGGGGTCAATAGTGCATGCGGAATTTTGTAATATCATCTCTATTGTGCAGTTCACAACCACTGTGATTATAGTAGTTTCCCATGAGGGTACGTGTACATGTGCACGTACACGTACCTTGGTTTGAAATTATTCTTGATCGACCACTGGACGAGTGATTTACATGAACATACACGTTATACATGTATGTTAGGGCTGTGCATGTTGAATAATTATGTACAGTGTACATAGTATGTATTCTAGTATTAGGCCCCCCAAAAAAGTCTCCGGTTTCTGGTATGGAGCTTGCCCAAAAAGTGGTGCGGCGACGCGGTTTTTTTTTTTTTTTACCTGTTTTTTTTTGCTTCAAATGTCGTCTGATGACTGCAAATGGTGCCGGACTAAACTTAGTGCAAATATTATGGGAGACCAGAGAGGCCACATAAAGCTTATTCTCGATCATAAGCCCATCTAAAAACACGTTAAAATTGTGCAGCAGCAGGATTCCAGTCAAACCAGTGATTTTGGCGGTTTTGAGACATCATCTTTCATTGAAAAAAAAACTTTTTCATTTTGCCGACGCGCATGGCTACGGCGACGCACACGCATACCAGAAACCGAAGACTTTTTTTTTTGGCCTTATTCTAACTTGGACTTGACTGAATATATTCAAAATGTGTTGATTAAGTTTAACATGCACCAGCCTAAACCATAAACTGGTCACTGATGGGGATATGTGTGTATCTGTGCTTGTTGATACTTGACAAGGTGGCGGCATGGCTGAGCTCCGACCAATTTTTAAAAAGTAGAACCATTTGAGCTATTTTTTCTCATGGGCAATTCCATGGTAACTCACGTTACATTCGGAAGGGGTCTTCCACCAACTCTGTGCTGTTATTCTATAAAGTGAAAGTATTGAGGATGGATTTTCCTCACAGAAGATCCCTTGAAATTAAGTGAGTAAATTATCAAAGAAAAGGGCAACAAACAAAAAGTTATGTTGGTTTGGCAATACATGTGCATGTATGTAAGTTGTTTGTCGGTAACTCACGTTACAAGAAAAGGACATGGCAAAAAAGTTTAATAAGTTTAATAAGTATAAATTTACAAGTTGCCTCATACTGTGCACTGATGAACAAAATCGTTTTTAATGCCCTTGCATCATTAGGGTGTACGGTATGTACTGGGTATGCTACCATTTCAATTATGACAAATTAATCAGTCACAAAATCTCTAGAGGGATAGGCCTACATGTTTCTATTTGGTAACTCACGTTGTCCATCTTTGGTACAAGTTATATACATGTAAGAAATTAAATATCAAATAAAAAACTCTTTTCACATAAAAAACATGTAATAACCTTCCTCGCTACCTTAAAAACAAAAGTCAACACTTGCATTTTGCATTAAAAAAAGTGCCAAAATGACTACCTGATTTCCATAACTAATTTCCATAGAAATTTTGGACCAAAAAACCCATACTCCATCTCACCGCCATGTCACTCAAGTGACAGATCTTTTTGCCCCCATTAATTTTATACCACATTTGAGGTTGTGATGTTTGCAGTTTCTGAAGATTTCATAAATTTCCGTTTTTCAGCCATGTCCACATTTTCATGAAATTGCCCACATAATATCAATTTGAGTCACTACATGTATACCGAAAGTAAAACCGATATTTTCCCCAAGTAGGTACATGTACATGTACAATACATGTATGTCATGTTTATCAACCAAGCCCTGAAACCAAAGCAACTACATAAAATGTAAACACTGGCTGTAAATATTAAAATGAATGAGTAATCATGAAAGTTGATGATTAATTTCACCTTGAATCCAGGCCAGCCCATACATGAATAAATACACATACAGTGTACAGGATGAGTCAAAACAGTAGGACATGCATGCATGCATTTATCAAGTGACATCATGATATTGCAATGTATAAAAGTGTGCCATTGACTGGTTGAGTACGTACAATGTACATGTATGCACATGTGTACAGTATTTGTCACAATTGGAGGTTTACACTGCGAATGCCATGGGAGTTTTTATGAAAAGAAAAGAATGTGCAATTGCATTTCACATATCATGTTTATCGCATGCAACTATTCCCCAAATTTTCCCTTGCAAATTCACAGAATACTCTCTGCGAAAACGTGTAAAACTTCACAAAATTGGTGTGAAATTATTGCAAAATTAATGCGAAATCTGTGCCAAATGAGTGTGAAACAATTCAATTAAAATCAGCACGAAAGAATTTTTCATTCATTCCAGGATGGGAATGTTTGTAAAACATAGGAATTAACAACTTCTTTTTAAGGTTATACCGGTATTTGGGTTAAATACCATAAAATTAGCAAGAAGGCAAGCAAGCACAACATTATGTAAAAGATGCAGTCTCTCACACATGGTTCAAGCCAGCTACATGTAGGTGGAAGAAGTCGTATGATACAAATCTACATTTGTACTGTATACACTGTCTTGGAAAAGCCATGGTTGCTTGCATTTAAGTCTTTTGCACCCTGTTATTGTCAATCTTGCTGTTATATTGCAGACATATAAAAAAAACTGTTGAACAATAAATTATAGGATTGCAAAAGTTTGTTCACACAGAAAGCAATAGCCAGTAGAGTTTATGATCTGAATACTAAAGTACAAGTACAAATTGGGGTAATAAAAACTGAAAAGCTAATTTGGAAGAAAATGCATGGACAGCCACTTAACAAATTGCATGCATGATTTGAGGGCAAGTTCAGTCAGGAGTATTACATGTAGCCCGAATTTGCATCTTGAAATCTGTCAAATATCAGCTAGATGCTGTCTCAGAAAAAAATATATTAATACATACTTGTATGATATTTTAAAAAAATTTATTTTACCTCACTGTCAATGGACGTACATATAGTCCAATGCTTGATCAAATCTAAGTTCAAACGAATACTAGATTATTTGAAAATGTACAGCACTAAACTAAAATGACAAATTGATGATGTGAGGAAACATGAGAAGAAATGTGAATTGTGGGGGTCAGCTCCCCGTTTGCATGACATTGCCCATATAACAGTATTATTTTATAACAGTTGAATTTCATTTCAATAATAAAACTTGACGTTTTACAACGACAAGTATTCAGACAGTGTTCAGGCGTATACAGCTGTGTACATATACATTAAAGGCTCTTCCAGGAAGTGATTGCAGAAAAATAACAAATGATGTCAATGCGTGGTCGTAGTTAATCCATCATTTCGAGTTTTTTCTGTGTAGCTTTTGTGCCAACAAAAGAGAAATTGCCTTTTTCATTTCCTGTCTCTGCTGTCCCGATAAGAAGAAATCATTTTTTTCTTGATACCAAAATGGCAAGCCAGGCATTAGAAAAGACTCATTGGAAATTGTTCATTTGAAAATGAAACTTATTCTTGTGTTCAGTTTCTGCATGACTTAGTTCCCAGAAGGGCATGAAGAGAGAATGAAATATGTTTGTACACGCATGATTTGAACATGTGGAACATTCTCTGCATTGTTGTCATTGCATGTCATAGAGTGTTATAAATCTCACATTGGAAATGATGGTGGGTGTGCGTCTGTGTGATAGAGGCACATATCATGATGTCATGCTGCCATGAGCGTAACTTTAAAGGGACTGTTGGCTTGTGTGTACCAGTATTGCTTGTATTATTTATAATGAATGCATTCGCAAAGCTGGAAACAATTGCAGTCAAGCTTTATGTTCTAAAGTTGATGCCGTCTCTGAAAGCATTCAGACTACCAAGATATCTCAAGCCTAAAAAAAGTGAGGTGATTTTTCTGGGGGGAGGGGAATGGTGTTTTGAGGAAAGAGCCTTAATACACAGGGAAAGTTGAGATGGATTTGAATTTCAAAATGAATTTTGACTGGATGACTAGAAAATGACTGCTTTACTGTGAGTTTTGAATACTTTTGATCGATAAGATGCATTCATGAAACAATGCACATGTTTTCAGTAAGGTCTTCCTCAATCAAAATTTGGTTTTTGAGATAGATGTACATGTACATATGTACACTGAACTTGAATGCTGACAACCCTACATGTAGCCCCTCCTATTGCGCACATTAACGTATAGTCTGTACAAAATATACTTACATGTCAAATTCTCGATCACCCTCAAAAGTGCAAACATAATGGCATGCGTGAAGCGGATGGGA